TCCGGTTTCCATTTTTTTTTCGTATTTCTATGAAACCCATTGACGCACATTAGGTAAACTAATAAATTAATCAATTTCTATTAAAATAAATTAATAAATTATTTTTTTTCCAAAACATAGTAACACATATTTGAAACGGAATTATTTATACGTATACTAATTTATTACTACTTGGTAGAAAATATTTTTTAGGGTGTTCAAAGGTTAACAATATTTTTTATAACATTTCGAAATGTGGCGTCCCTTATAAAATCTTTAAAAAATATGTAAGCAGGTGAGCAGTGAACATTAACTTTCTTGCTCGTTCTTCTCCACTCGAATCTTTTGACTCCGTAGATTATCATACATGTAACGCCATCTAGAATTTCAGATGATAACTAAAGGTGAAAATTATGATGTGTGATTAAGGTTGATTCTGTGTAAGTCGTTATGTATTAAAGCAGTGTATAGTGCTGTACATAGATGGAGCCTTTATTTATATAAACGTACAAGTAGTTAAGCATAAATCAGGAAAAATGAATAGTAAGGAAGGTTTTCTAATTCTAGTAGCGTTTTAAGAAATTAGAGCAATGCGCTGGTATATTTATTTTTTTGTTTACATTTTTATTTTTCCAGTTTTTTTCATATGCATCAAGGAAGGAGGGTTCCTTCCACTCCTCTCTATGTAAAGCTTTTTGCGGCCAATCCTTGTCATAGATGTCCAGTTCATCCCGCCATCTCCTTTAGGGACTACTGCGACGTCTGCTGACGTTGAGTGGGCTCCACTCAGTAGTAAGTTTTGCCCACCGCCTGTCTGACATGCGGCAGACATGTCCAGCCCAGTTCCATTTTAAGCCTGCGGCTTTATGGCCAACGTCAACGATTTTAGTTGTGGAACGCAGTGTGGTGTTCTTAATTCTGTCCGATAGTTGAACTCTTAAGATACTGCGCTCCATGGCCCGCTGGCAAACCTTGAGTTTGAATTTCTGATGTTCTGTCAAAGCCATAGGTGAGGATGGGCAGAATGCACACGTCCATGAGCACAAACATACATACATAGGTCAAACTGAAAATCTCCTTTGTTTGATTTTGAAGTCGGTTGATAAATAAATGATGCCCAATGATGAAAGTACTCCAAGCAGTATTCATTGTCCAAGTTAATAACATCACGCCTTTTATCCCCGAAGGAGTAGGTAGAGGTACATATTACGGCACTTAATGCCACTGTACAATGTAGCACCCACTTTTGTAGCAACACAATGTAGCAACTATATATGTTATGAGTCCCATGTAATAGGGGTGAACCTATTGCCATATACCGGGCACGTTTCCAGATTCCTTGTTACTGCTGAGGTTTTTTTAAAAACCCAGTGATACTTTGCCCGATCCGGGAATCGAATCCGAGACCCCTTGTGCGGCAGTCGCACTTGCGACCACTCGGCCAACGAGGCTGTCATAATTGTCATTGTCCAAGATACTGCAGGTCAAAGGTCACAAACCCTTCAATAAACTTGGTGAACCAGGAAATTTATTTACCCTTTATCACAATTCCGTGGTGAATGTATCGAGTCACGAATTATGGTCCTTTTTATGTTAAATTCGACACTTCCTCAATGTAGGAAGTGAACACTGTCGTCACTTACACTTTAAAGAAACCCTTTGTTCATGTTGTAGACAGGTATTATTGTTGCTTCCTTGCACGCAGGCAGATATTGCTGTTTTAGTAATAAAAAACATGTGACAAAACGAGTTTGAAATATTCAAAGAAAAGATTTTTTATAAAGGTATTTTTTTGGGGGGGGGGGGGGGGAAATCATCGAATGACTGCTCCTGCCTGGGTGAGGCGGTAGGGAATGTCAGACTCTTACTGACTAAAACCCACCCCGTTCCTTCTCCTGCACGTCGAGCCGGAGTCCCGGTAACCCGTTAGGTTCTAAAAGGTATAAGCCGGTGAACGAGGTAACGGATCACCTGATGGTAAGCGTTAGGCGTCGCCCATGGACACCCAGAACACCGACGTTACAAGTGCGGATTAGGAATTTGAGGGTTGTTGACACTGAATCCCCATTCAGTGATTGCGGAAATCGGGGAGAGGGATGAATAAATTATTGTTTTCCGGCTTACTCAAGTTACCGTTTGACGAGAAGTCGACTAGACTCGAACCGCGCCAGGGGTTTAAAAATATGAAATCTATTAGGGTAGAACGACATTTCTTTTCCGGAAAAAAGTATTTTAAGGAATGGGCAAAACTCCGTCAGTCCTTCAATAAAAGAGCGTATTCCTTTTCAAAAGGCCGGCAACGCACCTGTGACTCCTCTGGTGTTGCGGGTGTCCATGGGCGGCGCTGATCGCTTACCATCAGGGGATCCGTCTGCTCGTTTGCCTCCTATTCCACAAAAAAAAGTCTAAACCTTTTCGCATGGGAGACAATTATATAACAGCCAGTCACAACTTACTTATAGTTATCATAATAGGACTATTATCGGGTAGATCAGGATCGAACCGGCCTGAACAATATCGAAGTCCTGAGGAGTGAGGACAAATGTATTGTTTTCTGTCCCATTACCACACAATATCTAAATACCGGAACTATTTAATATTAATACCAAGGTACTATTATTTATGTATGTCATAAGAAATTGCAATCGTACGCACTTTGTTACGAAACAATAACAAAACACGTTCACTTAACGTATGTCTATATAATCTTAATGTAATTTTGTCGACGCATTGCATTAGTTTTATTGATTATTTATTAATTATTATTCATTAAATCTTGACCACAGTAATGTCATGTGATCTACTGTCCATTAAATTCGTTTGACAAGTGTACGACTGTCTTAGTAAAAGGGTTCTGTATAGACTACATGTTTTTTTAAGTTATTTTATTCGGGTGCTAATTAGATCACTACATTATAAACGTCATTATTTAGCGCATCCTCCCCAACCTCGGGGGGCCAAACGCCTCCTGCCGGAGGTTATACGCCGGGGTCGTGCGGTCCATGGCCCTCTACGGCGCCCCTGTTTGGGCGCCGAACTTGTTGCGGCGTCCTGCTCGGACGCTGCTCATGTCACAGAGGGTCATGGCGATCCGAATGATCCGCGGATACCGCACGATCTCTGGGGAGTCGGCGAACCTCCTTGCCGGATTACCGCCGTGGGATCTGGAGGCGAAGGTGCTCGCGCGCGTGTATAACATGCGCGCGGAGGCACGTCGCCGGGGCGAAACTCCGCTGCCGCGCCAAATAAGTGCGTGGCGGGATGAGCTCCGGCGCGATCTCATGGCGGAATGGCAGCAACGACTGTCGCAACCGGGGGCTGGGCTCGCTGCCATCGCAGCGGTAAGTCCCCTCTTTGAGTGGCTTGAGAGACGCTACGGCGTCCTCACCTACCGCCTGACGCAGGTCCTCACCGGACATGGAAGTTTCGGGAGGTACCTGTGTCTGATGGGGCGGGAGGAAACGCCCGGGTGTCATCACTGCGAGGACCGCCCTGAGGACACGGTGGAACACACAGTGGGAGAATGCCCTGCGTGGGCTGAGCACCGCCGTGCCCTCAGGGAAGTGATCGGCGATGGCGACCTCTCGCGTCCGGGCCTAGTGCAGGCCATGATGCGGAGCGAGGGGGATTGGGATGCCGTCTCCTCCTTTTGCGAAGCAGTCATGCTAGCTAAGGAGGAGGCCGGACGCGTGAGGCAGCGAAGCGCTGCCTCCTCGCAACCCAGCCATCGCGAAGGACACACCGGGCGTCGGGGATCGCGAGACGATCTCCGGCCACCGTAAGCGCGGGCCTGCGGACGGCGAGCATGGGTGGCTCCCCGTCCGACCAGAAACAGACCCGAGCGTACGGCGCGTCGCGTTCCGCGCGCGCCTCAAAGAGCCATCAGACCACCACAGATGGGGCCCAATAGGGCCGATGCCGATTCGGAGTCGCGGAGAACCTAACGGGTAACCGGGGCTCCGGCTCGACGTGCAGGAGAAGGAACGGGGTGGTTTTTAGTCAGTAAGAGTCTGACACTCCCTTCCGCCTCACCCAGGCGGGAGCAGTCATTCGATGATTTTCCCCCCTTAAAAAAAAAAAAAAAAAAACGTCATTATTTGCCTCTCAAAATCAAAGTGTTCTTTTACATTTCGAAATCAGCAGAATTGGCGAGCATATTAACATGAAACTGCCTCGTTGGCCGAGTAGTCGAAAGTGGTAGGGCAAGACGTGTCGGGTTCGATTCCCGGGTCGGGAAAAGTATTACTGGGTTTTTAAAAATAAATCTCAGTTGTAGCACGGAGTCTGGAAATGTGCCCAGTATATGGCAATAGGCTCACCCCCTATTACATGAGACTCATAAACATAAATAGTGAAAAGTGGGTGTTACATTGTACAGTGGCATTAAGTGCCATAATGTGCACCTCTACATACCCCTTCGGGGATAAAATGTGTGATGTTATGTTACGTTATTAACTTAAAATAGACCTATAAATAATAAACTAGAACTTTTTATGTAGCCACTATAACTTACTATAGTTAATAAATAAGAAAGAAATAATTTAGAAAAATATAATACGTTGTTTAAAAAAACGGTTAGTGTTGTTATGGAGACAAATTAGGTAATTATCGGCTCGTGGCATAGTAATAAAGTAGGTAAGAGGTTTAATCAAATGGTCGATAAAAAATTATGGCTCGATTTATTATTTCCCATTATATTTTAGTGTATTCGTCTTTTATTGATCACTAAACGTGATTACTAGATGTGGTACATTGTTTCTGTGTAGTGAGATTTATTTTTCGATGTTTGATACCAAGTTTTAGTCCATAATATCTCCACTCGAGACTATTTCTAAATTATTGTAGCGGATCTCTAAAATGCATCGATCTTTCTCCAACGTTTATGTGTTATCCGTAGGCTCTCATTAAAGGTCCATTTGTTGTCAGCTGATCGCGGTATATATTGCAAGTGCATCGGTGATCTAACGCATTATCTCGCCATCTTTGATTTAGTATCTATCTTAACACCATCATAATAAAAAATGAAGAGTTTTATTGTGTGTTTGGCGATCTGTGTCCTGGGTGTGGTTCAGGGTAAGTATATTTACTATCTTAACCTCATTTTCCTACATCGATCGGGAATCCTATCAAAATGAAGTAAGTAATTATTCATATAGGATTATCATGGTGTATCCAGAAACCATCTTTTTTGCCGGACTATGTGTAAACATAGCTTGATTTTATTTAATTGTTGGCACTGTGGCTCTCTGACCAGAGCCATTAACCAAACGCCACTTTAGCGCTTGTCTACAGAGAGAGTAGTAAACTAAATGTATGGGGATGACACTGACAAGTGTCAAAATTTACGTCAATCCAATATAATTTGGTTTTCTATTCTACAAGTAGACAAGTGCTAAATGGCATTTGGCTACAGCTGCTGATTACCTGAATGTGATTCGGGTTCGGGAACGGCAATTTATCCAATGATTTTTTATGGCAATATACTCACCAATTATTACATGGGACTCATAACATAAATAGTGAAGAAAAGTGGGTGTTACATTGTACAGTGGCACTAAGAGCCGTAATGTGCAACTCTGCCGACTGCTTCGGGCATAATATGATGTTATGATGATGTTTATTTTACAGAGAAATACTTTTCTTTATGACTGGGTATTTCGTAGTTTACTGTATTCATCTCATTCAAGCGATTTGGAGCCATGATATTGACTGCAATAGTATATGTACTTAGTTCACCAATTTCATGGTCTGTGCATTGATTAATATCATTTTCTTCGAGCGCTTTTCTTGTTAGAATATCTCATTAGTATAGTTAGGCTATTTCCGTTTATCAATAATAATTGGTTGTATTAATAGGTGAGATTAGGTACAGCTATATTCAAGAGGTGTTAATTACAAAATTCATTATGATTAGAAGTAGACGGAGTATTTTACGAAGAAATAGAAGAAACGCTAATTGATTACATCATTACCTTTCTGTTATTGTTTTAGTACTTTTAGTATATCCGGGTTGTAGTGGCTTAGTTATGCTTTATTTTAGATTTTAGGCTTTTTTTGGAACAAGCCCGCCACATCCTCCCAAAACCACTGCAACTTCTGTAAGCCAGGATCTATAAGTAGATACAACCATGAAAGTCTGACGCGTTATTATAACTTTATTGGATCCAGCAATGAAATGAATTAGAAGATATTATTAAGAGGAGAAGAAAAATAAAAAGTAATAGTAATTCTTCTTGTCTTCGAAAGATAAAATTAGTTTGGGATTGTAGTCATATGGCAATAGCAGTAGCGTAATAATAATGGTCGCCTAGTAACTAAAACATTCATTTTAAAATTAAGTGTACAGTAAGCATAGACATACGTAATGGTTTTTATAGGATGTTTTAATGAATGAATGAAAATTAATTAAGATTTACCTAATTTCATTAATTATTCGTTTAAATTTTATGTTTTCGGCTTACTCACATAATTATTGAACTCGACTAGTTTCAAGCCATGCCGGAGGCTCATATTCATGAGCAGAATTCCGCGCCCCGCGACGCTTCGACTGTCGCGCTACTACTGACAAATAATTACGTGACTAAGACGAAAAACATTACAATTAATTTAGTATATAGTACGACTGCCTCGTTGGCCGAGTGGTCGCAATTGCGACTGCCGAGCAAGGGGTCTCGGGTTCGATTCCCGGGTCGGGCAAAGTATTACTGGGTTTTTAAAAAATTCTCAGTAGTAGCACGGAGTCTGGAACTGTGCCCGGTATATGGCAATAGGCTCACCCCCTATTACATGGGACTCATAACATAAATAGTGAAAAGTGGGTGTTACATTGTACAGTGGTATAATGTGCACCTCTGCCTACCCCTTTGAGGATAAAAGGCGTGATGTTATGTTATGTTATGTTGTAATTTAGTATATCTCACGAGAGTTACAATTAATATCTTCGTTTATTATTTTTTTATACACAAGCCAATGTTTTCTAAATTCTCAACCTTTTATTGTTACCTTATTTTATAAATGGAATCAAACCGTTAACTTATACATACAATACAAGCAGTAGTAGCCTCTATTCTATAAATTAAAGTAAATAAAACTAATCCACCAATGACGTATTGATCATAAACCTTATAGTGACAACTTTACAAGTTATTAACAAGTGCCTTGTCTTGATTACTGCCACCTGGCGGCTGGCCGTGTCCTATATTATTCTCTACCTATACCTACTTAAATCAGTAATTTATATATTAGTCATAAACTAGTCAAGTTTAGTAGTTTATTTATTTATACTTTATTGCACACACAGAAAAAAAATTGTAAACATTGCAACAGTAATTTAAGTACAATGGGCGGTCTTATCACACGCGGCGATTTCTTCCAGACAACCTTTGGATGGAATTTTAGAAAAGAATCTGGGAATGGGTGGTAGTAGTTCATAGTGACTTTACTGTTTATGTTATTACTCTCTTTGTATGACATGATAACAAACGGACATAAGAACTTCATAGATATAGTTTCTGGGATCTTTATTTATTTTTGGATAGATAAACGTTTTACCATATAGGGTAGATGACTAATTTTTATTCCAATGTCCTTTTGATAGGTTATTTTAAAACATTAGAAACATATTTTTTATTTGCTCATAGAATCAAATACTTTTGGGTATATACGTTTTATACATAGAAATGACGTTTTCGATTCCATTCCTAAACTTTGATTCGTTTTATCTAAGTATTGTTTTCTTGTATGACAAAATTAAAAAATACGTGTCTAATATTTTTTCACTACCTACCGAGCGGATTAATTAGATTTTTAATTTCCATAACCTGTTATGTCACTTTGTAAGTTTGTATCTAGGTTTATTGAAATATAGAAGGGAAAGCAGTAAACACAAAACCTACGAAGAAAAAAGAGCAAAAAACTCCATGGTTATTAACCCTACGAAAACTGTATTACTCCACATCTCTACAACATCCTTATTTCATGAATCTGCGATTAATATTCCAGGAGTCAACATCACGCCGTGTAAACAAGATGACACAGCTTGCCTAAAAGCCTCAGCTCAGGCAGCAGTCCCAATATTGGCAGCCGGTATACCAAATATGGGGATCTCAGTGATGGATCCCATGCACGTGGACCAGGTGAAGACTGTAGAAGCCGGATTGGCAATGGACTTTAGGAATACCAACGTCAAAGGTTTGAAGAACTGTAAAGTGTTGATGTTAACGTGAGTAGACTGTTATTTTGGTTTTAAATTATTATGTCTTCGGCTTACTGCCATGGCTTGAGCCTCTAGCATGGCTTGAAACTAGTCGAGTTCCTCGTCAAATAATTACGTGAGTAAGCCGAAAACATATTAATTTATTTAGTGTGTCTCACGAAAGTTACAATACAAATATTTTGGTTTTATTCATTTAACGTTTCAGAATTGTTTCCCTTTCTTTAAAACTATTTGAAATGTAGTCCTTTAAAGCCTGGAACTTGTAATGATACAAAGTACCTCAGAGCGAGACATTTTATTTACGTCAAACAAATCAAACTAATGTTTTGCCGCTAACGAATCCATAGTTTGAATTAAATTCCAACGCCATCTATCGATCTATGGCACAACTCTCAAGAAATTAATATTAATAGTAGTATGGCGATTGCGATCTTTTACAAATATTTCTAACTTGAACAGACTGTAATGTATTATTTTAATTTAAACAAATAATTTCGCCTATCTCAATGGCTAACACGATTCTAGCGCATCTTTTTCACTTCATCTGTATTCATAAATATGTTCATCCACGCTCGTTGATTGAGGGCATCAGTTATCAATATCGGTCACTAGCTAGCCCACTGTTATTTCTATATCCATACAGTATAGCTTAGTCATCACATCACTTCTTCGTCACGTGTATTGCGTGCATTACATGAAAAGGTTCAAGGATTGTTCATAAAATTATACGAGTCCGAATAGCTTTATACTAGAACAAAGTTCAAATATACCTGCGATTTGACGTAGATGTGTTTACAAAAAATGTAATAACAGGTCTTATAGTTATTAAATGCATTATTTTCAAACTTCTATTTGTCTTTAACTATAGGATGGATAACTAACTGATGGTTAGGATAATTAGAATCAATTTTACAGTATTAAAATACTTAATAATGTAATGAATAGTTTCCTCAATCTTTGTACAGCTTTTTTACATAATTTCTTAACAAGGAATAATTTATTTGACTGAAAAAACGAAGTAATTTTCTTTGGTATAGCTATAGTAGTAGACTATGATTAATAATTTAATTACATGTTGGTATAGTAATTAGTATATTTCTCTTGTTGACTTGATATATTACCATTGTCTATTTATTTACTATTTACTTGGTTAGGTAATCGGTATAGAAAAAGGATATTTTCCAAGTACTTATGGCTATTTTATAGTTATTTATTATTTACATTTGACAGTTTTAGTACCTAATTGATTTACAGTCCGTAATAATGAGCCTATGTATGCGCGAAAAACAGGTACATATTTATAAGTTTCTATGGAGAACCAAGACGTATAGTACCTGTAATAATAAGAGTACTTCGGTTATTAAGCAATTTGATTAATTATTGTCAACATCAGCCAGTATCGTGGTGGAAACATTACTTATTGTATTTATAATAGGTTTTTTATGGAATAGGGGGTCTTAGGGGGAAACCTTCAAAAAGCGCCTTGCTTTTTTGGGAAAAAGACTAGCGACTGTGGGATCTTTTCTTTACCTCACTAAATCAATCTATCAATAAATCCCCGGTGGCCACCATCCGCACCTGAAGGAGGCACCGGGATTCGGGAGCCTAAAGAACAGATGGATCATCTGATGGTAAACGAAAAAAAAAGTAGATGGATACCCGCAAAACCAAATACCAGATGACCAAATGAAGCACAAGCACACACTTGTGGTGGTGGCCTTTCAAAAAAGAATATGCTCGTTTTCGAAGAGGTCTTCTGCTAATTCTTCTATTTACTCTGTTATAGTCGTCATCCTCACCGAACGGACCTGGATCTAAAGTGCTCTGTAACCATGGACGGTGACTACACTCTTGGCGGCAAGCTGCTCATCATGCCCATCGAAGGCAGTGGGAAATATACCATTAAAATTAGTGAGTATTTTTTTAAAGTCTTTCTTCAGTCAGCTATTCAAGACAGAATTAGATTCAGTAATCAGATGACAATGTAAGCCCAAAATCCGTATGTGATGCCGAAAATAACACGTAATTTATAATAATTAGTCTCTTGCGGTAGACGCAGACTTCAAACTATATTAAATACATAGAATTTGTAAAAACCGATTATAACTTGAATCTAAGTACAAAAATGAAATGCTCAGAAGCAAAAGTTCCTCACGGCCTATAGGTAACTAGGTTTAACTGGGTAGCGTAACGTAGGTTTTACTGCTGGGTAAGAGCCTCAAATGGAGAAGACATGAGGATGTACCACCACGGTAAACTCAAAATAAAAGGTTCCTCATCCTAACACCTTAAACGCCGAGTTACCGGTGCCCGACATTAGTAGAAGATTTTAATCCATCAGTTTTCTATTGGCAGTCAAAGACCTCCCACTATTTTCTTACTTTGCAGGAGGCATTGTTGTTAAGATCCAGCTCGACGTGGACGAGAAGGCTCGGGACGGTGGAACCTACTGGGTGGTGAAAGATTGGAAGCATACCACTACCGTCGAGAAGGGAGTCCATTTTAAGTTCCGGAATTTATTCCAAGGCAATAAACAATTGTGTAAGTATTGTAAAATATATAAATCAAAATTAATTTTCGTTCGTTAGTCTCGCTAAAACTCGAGAACGGATGAAACAATATGGCTGATTTTGGTGTTGAAATGCTCATGAAAGTCCAGTAAAAGTTAAGAACAATATTTTAGGTGGTACGAAGTTTTCTAGGTTAGCTAATTATAGTTATGTTTCTTGTATTAAAATAATGAGAAGATGAATGGATTGTGTGAGGAATGATAAATCACATTAATGTTTACAAACAGGTTGTGAAACCTACCGGGTTACCGGGGCTCAGGCTCGACGTGCAGGAGTAGGAACGGGGTGGTTTTTAGTCAGTAAGAGTCTGACACTCCCTCCCGCCTCACCCAGGCGGGAGCAGTCATTCGATGATTTTCCCCCGTTAAAAAAAATCGTACTAATATTATAATACGAGTTTCTATGTTACTCTGTTACTTCTTCACGGCGAAACGGGTGAAAGAATCGTGATGAAATTTGGAACAAGGGTAGATTATGGTCTGGAATAACATAGAGGCTATTTTTATTCCACGGGAACGCGGGCGAGTCCGTTGGCAAAAGCTAGTATGTAATAATAATAGGTTGGGCTGCAAGGTTGGCGCGGTGGCTGCGCAACTGGCTGCCGTGATATGTTTAGCCGGTTATATTCCTGCGTAGAGCAACTCTTTGCGTAATCCACAAATGGTTGTTGTGTCTGGATGTCATATGTATGTGAAATTGTATGTTTGCAAGAAGACTATCCTAGTGTGCGGCAACGTTTTTTTTTAAATACCCTTACTTGAAACATTTTAAAATGAAATGAGTCTATTTGAAATATGAGATGGCCTTTTTATGAAAATTAAAATCCTTTTAATCTCATGACATGATTATTAACTACTAGCTTTTACCCGCGGCTTCGCTCGCGTCACAAAAGGATAAAAGTAGCCTATATGACATATACCAATACACACAGCGCCATCTATACTAATAATTTCGTTTTCCCTCGGGAATATCACATTTTCCGGGATAAAAAGTACCCTATTATTTAATCTGGACTTCTAACTTTACGTCTGCAAAATTTCAAAGCATTCGATTTAGTAATTACGGCGCGAAGGTAGAACAAACAAACAAACTCACTTTCAGATTTATAATATTAGTAAGGATACAAGTATGCAGTAACTATGCAAACAGCATCAATCAATGAAACAAGAAACTAACCGTAGTTATGAATAAGATTAAGGTCAAGTTTCATACAGTTCTCATCTTTTATTTACTTTTAAGAGGTTTTTTATAAACCTAATGGAATCTGAACATAAATTATTATTGCCAATCAAATCTTTAATTATGCTTATTTTAATCAACAGCGGATGCAATCCACGAGTTCGCCAATCAGAATTGGAGAGATATATTCCAAGAAGTGGCGCCCCCTATCGTGAAGGTAATCGTGGGTAGGATTGTCTCAGAGACGACTAAATTATTTGATCACGTACCAATAGAAGAATTAGTTATAAGATAGATTATTTAATAAATTGATTACTTAATGAAAGTTGTAAATATGGCAGCACGTCAAAATACTCTTAAATCGATATTTTTAAAGAAATTCTAACTTTAATGTTTCGAGATATAGTTGAAAATTGATTAAACAAATGTCAGTTTGAGATATTCTGATGTGCTGTAGGGACCTGGTTATGAATAAACAGTGTTAATTTATTCTAAATGTTCTTTTTTTTCTACATATTTTCATTGGCACAAAGTCGAACAATGGCCTTGAACTTTTACCCTCCTACCTAACCTACGCACTTAAGTGTTTGTATTATTTTGCTCTGCTAATTTTAATAAACCTAATTATAAACATGAGGTTAAATTGTTACCGGTATTGTTTAACCATTCTCGAGCAAATATAACTATATAATGACATTTTTTAAAAACATAAGAAGGAAAATACAGCCAAGATCGTTTAAAATATATTTTGGTTGAGATATTTCTAAAAACGGAAATTTACTGGGAAATTTACGTCGCCCATACACACCTGGGAACACCACAGGCAATATTAGTGCGTTACCGGCCTTTTGGGGATTAGGAGTTTGTGGGTCGTTGGGGATTTAGGAATTGGAGAGATTGTGGAAGGGGAGGGGCGGTAATTGGGCCTCCGGTAACCTCACACACACGATAAAATACAACGCAAGCGTGGGAGAGCCATGCTTCGGGACGAATGGGCCGGCTCGACCGGAGTGATACCACGGCCTCACAGAAAACCGACGTGAAACAACGCTTGCGTTGTTTCACGTCGTCCCTCGAAGGGATAGGCAGAGTACTCTGCCTATCCCTTCGAGGGTAAAATGCGTGATGTTATGTAATGTTATGTTAGAATGACAAACGAACAGACAAATCATCTGAAGGTAAGCACTCAGCGCCGCCCATGAACACCCGCAACATCTGAGAATTTACAAATCCTTATTTCAATACAATAGTGGTCCAGAATTTATATAGAATTATTTTAATTCTCCAACGTATACACGGCTACACATCAAGCTTTACATAGCCATTATAAACTGAACGTTAAATGTGCGGAAAGATGATGCGACGCGACACCAGGATAAACTGGTTTTGTATAGATTGATGTGTGGCCGGTGTGTACCATCATTTTGTCATAGCCGCTGCCATGCCCCCGATAATATTTATGATTTCTTATTGCTATGCCTGTTGTGGTTAGGTACTACATATTACGTAATAGAAGATTTCATAGAAACCTATGTCACTTGTATATGTATGTACCTACAGGTAAATATTGACACACACAAAACACATACAATTGTGTATGTATTTATATAGTTACATTACATAGTTCGTGCAAAAAACTTTATAACCACACGCTGTGTATAAAACAGAAGTAATGAGGTTTCTTAGTAACTATTAATGTTTATAGCTGCGTATTAACACGAATGAGGGATGTACAACAAATAAAATATTTACACTTGGCCGTTTTTCCCCGACTAATTGCGTTATTGGGCCCTAAAGTTTAGGGCCTAAACACGGCAAATAAGGCCGGTAATTCGGAGTCGTGGAGAACTTAACGTAACCTAGTCTAACGCTTGCCGCCGTTATAGTTTGTCTATAAAATAAGATAATAATAACTTTGTTTATGATATTATTATTTTACCTCCAGTTTAAGATCTCTCGAGAACCTAGATAGCCAAGTTCAATAAAATTTACACTAAATTTCTAGCGTATGGTATGCGTGTAGTAGGTATCTGGTAAAAAGCGAATATTACCAGATTTATAGAAATCATAATACCACAACCTATTTGGATATCTAAACAAATATTTTCAAATTGCATTGTTCAGTCGACTAAAACGGGGGAAACCCACTCAAAGGTGCAAACAAGTTTAATTTAAAAACAATTAACTTAAGTAAACGTTTGAGAATTTATACAAAATATTTTCTAACCTCTAAATCGGCCTGTACAAGTTAAACAAGAAAGAACGTAGAGCCTCGATCAATATCGTAAACGCATTGAGGCGATGCGTCAGGCTAAATAAATAGATACCCAAATCAATGACCGCTCATTTTCCGATAACCTTAAAAACTTAAATGTTTGTCTTCGTTTCATCTTTACAATCAATTCGTATTATTTGCATTCCATAATGTTTCTTAAGATATTACATTGGCTTAAAGCTAGGACACAATTATGGACCCTGTCGGGCAATTTTGAAGTGATAAAGACAGTTTACACTTGGTGCATCAGTTATTTTACAGATCTTTATTTTTTATTTTAACTATACAGAATACAAAAACAACTACTTACTATAAGTCAGTTGGAAAGACACTCGAGTTCAATTTTAACAAAAAAAAATTGATGTATATTTTTTTAAACTTTATTCTCAGGCATCTATTGATACTTGTAGTACACAGGTAGTTATCTAGTTTTTTTTTATCTGTGACTTAACTGTTCTTTTATACTTTTACCAGCCAATCATGGCCTCAATAAGAATAAAAAAAACTTACTATGTAACATAACATAACATAACATCAGGCCTTTTTATCCCCGAAGGGGGTGTGAGAGGTGCACATTTCGGCACTTAATGCCACTGTACAATGTAACACCCACTTTTCACTATTTTTGTTATGAGTCCCATGTAATGAGCAGTGTCCCATGTAATGAGTAGTGATAGTGAGCCTATTGCCATATACCGGGCACATTTCCAGACTCCGTGCTACTACTGAGATTTTTTTAAAACCCAGTTATGAGTAGTGATAATGAGCCTATTGCCATATACCGGGCACAATTCCAGACTCCGTGCTACTACTGAGATTTTTTTAAAACCCAGTAATACCTACTTTGCCCGACCCGGGAATCGAACCCGAGACCCCTTCCCCGGCAGTCGCAATTGCGACCACTCGGCCAACGAGGTACTTACTATGTATATCCCGAAAAACTAAAAAGGGCGTTTTCATGACGAACAAGGAGAAGAAATTTTACAAGACCTCAACTTATTATATAATTCAACAGTTTTATACAGATTGAAGCCTGAGTCACCTCTATTAAAATGCGATTCTAAAGAATAATAAGTAGTTACAATAACTACAATAAGATGTAAGTAGGTTTATGTATAACAACGGAAACTATTATAATTATAATTATTATAATAGAAGCGAATTAGCCTTTATTGTGGTTTACATTTCAAGATCAAACCTACGTAAGTTGAAATGGTTTTAATTTAAACTCTATTTCATTGTAGAGAAACGGCAATGAAGCCGTTCTTTAAAAAATAAGGCACAACAGACGTGTAAGCATTAACGAAAATCAAACCCGAGATCCCTTGCTCCCCCGGTATTGTGGTAAAACAATACATAAGTAATATGTTTTGTTCAGAAGATAACTTATAATTTAATTATTTACTTTAGATTGCAGGTGCAGAAAGAAAGAAGATAGATAAAGAACATAACATAACAAGACGTCTTTTATCCCTGAAGAGGTACCAGAGATGCACATTACGGCACTTAATGCCACTGTGTAATGTAACACCCACTTTTTATGTTATGAGTCCCATGTAATAGTGAGCATATTGCCATAGGTATACCGGGTACTATTCCAGATTCCGTGTTACTACTGAGAATTAAAAAAAAAGTAGTTATACTTTGCCCGACCAGGGAATCGAACCCGATACCACTTGCCCGACAGTCGCACTTGCGACCACTCGACCAACGAGGCAGTCAGATAGATAGATAAAAAATAGGTAGTAAATGAAGCATATCCACCATTGGCGGAAGATGTCTTTCGGCGAATAACAATCATTATGAAGTCCACAGCCCATGGAAACAAAATCAGAGCCATGCAACACTCGTATGTAATAATGAACTATGTATGTAATAACATAATGATACAATAATGTTAGACACTAAGATTACTTTATGTTATGACGTATTAGACAAAGTGCGTAGATTGTGTGCAAACGTGCGTAACGACACATACGTGCAAAATTTTGAGCTAACTATTTAAATTGTACTTAAGTTGATTTTTGGAAACTTCTAGTTACGTCTAGTTTTCTTGTTATGGATTACGGAGGGAAATCTTTAAAAGGCGCCTTGATCTTTGGGGAGTGAGCCTCGTGAGAGTGGGATTGGTAGGTACTTTTCTAAAACCACCTCGGTGGCCACCCTCAGTAAGGGGCACCGGGTCCTCTAAAAGAGACATGCACCGGAGCCCCCACGGTGCCTTTGCCTATTGTACTAATGTAGCTACTGTATAGTATGCTTTAGAATAAGACATTTTTGGAACAGATTCTATTGTAAGGATGCAAGTGGTGGATTGAGGTTCGGTATAGAAGACTGATTGGGAGACCCCTTTGATGAGCAGTGCACTTCTTCTGGCTTGTGTTGGTGATGGTAATGTAGAATAATACAGGTAAAGAGCAAGGGAAAGGTTATATGATCTCCGGCCACCGTAAGCGCGGGCCTGCGGACGGCGAGCATGGGTGGCTCGCCGCCCAAACAGAACCAGACCCGAGCGTACGGCGCGTCGCGTTCCGCGCGCTTCTCATAGAGCCATCAGACCACCACGGATGGGGCCCAATAGGACCGATGCAGATTCGGAGTCGCAGAGAACCTAATGGGTTATTGGAACTCCGGCTCGAAGCGCAGGAGGAGAGGAGAGATTTTCACTCCTTAAAAAAAATGGAAAGGTTATCAATAGCTACATAATATACAAAACTGTTTTACTTTTTGGGAAAACCTATCAGGAAAACATACTCATAGGTACATTCCCTAGAATCCTTTGCTTCGTATGTAATTTTATTAAATTAAAAATAGAGTAGGTAGGTATATACATCAATAAATTACTGTGCCCTACAACAACTTATGAAAATTACTCTACATAATTAAATTAATGCAAAGTGCAGTTTGTGTTCGAGCAGTGCTTGTTTATGGTCGCGGTTCAAATTTCAAGATCAAGGTGAGGCGAGCATGTTATGATTCGAAGTACTGGCTTGTGTAGGTACGTTAAGGGGAAGCCTGTATTTAGAACCTACAGAGAACCACGATTTTCACTTTCCGAAGTTCAGGGTATTGATTTTTATAGATGAATATGAGAATGTTACATGTTGCATCAATCTTGTATAACTTGTGGTGCTCAAGTAAGTGCAAGAAGTAAAGATTTCGCATGGTAATATAATTCTTAAACGACACGTATTACAGTGTCATACAGTTAGTTTAATCGCGGATTTTCTATTGTATACCTAATCAATGAATTGAGTCTATACCCGTGCAAGATCGAAAAATTCCGGGTGTAATGTTATGAATAGGAATGTTTATTATAGTGTTTTAACGAATCTGCATCAACCATGGCTTTGACACTACGACTTAATTGAATTTTTAACGATATACCAAAATAATGATAAGGAAATTCAGCAAGGAAAATCTTCAAAAGAACAGATATATACATCCCCTTAAAAGAAGTGAGAACACAGAGCTGTGACAATAAGCGGATGACGCGGCTGCGTCTGTACATCTCATATAAGTGTCGTCCTGTCGTGACCGCCACCAGAGTTGCGCAGGAGTTGATTGTGACAGGAGTGACACGAGTGCACCATGAACAACTACTTGACGTATCTCTCTTTCTTCGCTGTCGTTTTGGGCGCGAAATCCGCATCGGGTAAGTGGAACGGAATTTTAAATGTTGAAATTCAGATTTTTTTTGTTGTTTTTGTGACTTTTATGGAATAAAATAATAGGGTTAATGTTAACTGTATTTTGAAATGGTTACAATTTAAGAGTATTTTTTTCAAGTCAAGTCAAAATCATTTATTTAAATTAGACCAGGAAGGCAATTTTGTACGCTAACAAAAAATAAAATAAAAGTGAAGCTATTTGCTCATTCCAAGGTGTAGATTCCTATGGAGAAGAACGAGCAAGAAACTCCATAGGTTACTCATTTTCAATCAGATTTACAATACAATTCTCTAGTTACATAGTTTTATTGGTTCGATTGTGCGAGAACAATGTAATGTAACACCAAAATCCAGTCAAAGAGTATTATTTCTATTTATTGATTTGGCATTACCATGAATCGTCTAGGATAGGTACAAAGATAATAAATAGGAACAAGGGACTCATAGGTAACAGATTTCCCTAAGTAGGTGATTCCCCATAACTTAAAAAATAAGTAATAATTTTATGTTTAGACTGATGCTAAATAAATGCCTAAATCATAGTACCTACGTAAATATAGATGTGTACAGAGTTAATTAATTATTATCCTAATTATGAAAGTTTCTTGTAAAAAGGTTTTTATCTTTCTACCATTTTAATTACTGAAATAAGATCCACATTGAATCTGTTCCTTATTGTTTTGAATTTTGCTTTAGGAATTTTTGTTTTTAGAAAAGACGTACCTATTATATATAAATATTTCTGTGTCCTGTACTAACACAGGACACAGAAATATTTATCTTTATTATATCTGTGGTACAGGATTGGGTTGATTTGATATCATCTAAAGAAGCCTTCATACTTACAAACAAACAAACTATTTTCTCCCTCAGCCCCCTTCATAAAGCCATGTAAATCTGGGGATAATGCGTGCGTGCTTGCGTCCGCGCAGGCGGCTGTACCAATCATGGCGGTTGGGATCCCAGAGTTGGGGATCAAGCCGCTGGACCCCATGAAGTTTGACGAGATCAAGGGAGACCAAGCAGGCTTGACTCTGAAGTTTACGGACACAACAGTGACTGGGATGAAGGGGTGTACTGTGGATGGTGTCAAGTGAGTAAAGCTACATAAGTATTTTTTTCATTTATTGATTTGGGAGATATTTGATTTGTGACTGCCTCGTTGGCCGAGTGGTCGCAAGTGCGACTGCCGGGTGAGGGGTCTCGGGTTCGATTCCCGGGTCGGGCAAAGTATTACTGAGTTGTTAAAAAAATCTTAGTAGTAAATCACGGAGTTTGAAGTTGTGGCCCAATGTATGGCTATAGGCTCACCCCCTATTACATGGGATTTACAACATAAATAGTGAAAAGTGGGTGTTACATTGTATAGTGGCATTAAGTGCCGTAATGTGCACCTCTGCCTATGCCTTTGAGGATAAAAGGCGTGATCTTTTGTAATGTGATTTGGGAAAGTGGTGAGATAGAGATACCTATATTACCATAATGGGTATATTAGTAACTCCACGGTTGCGAACCACCTTGCGGGTTACCGGGGCTGCAGCTCGAACCTATAGAGTGATTTCCATTTAGGAAGAGTTTGACACTCCCCCTCATAGCATAGTCACAGCCATTTGATGACTTTCTCCCCTTAAAAAACCTAGTAGTAACAATTTAGTGTTTTAGTTTGTAAATGCATCAACCATGTGATGCATAGCATTGAGATAAATATAGTGCATAGCGGTAATTTTATACGCAAACCAATTCCTTACAGTCTAATGAATGGGTACTGCAACTAATCTAAGTGTGTAAATAAATAAAGGAATATTTTACTTTATCACTCTCCATTCGCTATTTATTCGTATGATTAAGGTTTAATAACTTTTTACCTGAGCACGTACTTTACATTGATACCTGCTTAAATCAGTGATTAACGATAGAAGTTTGTAATCGTATCAGAATAGGTATGCAGAAATACATGCAACAAAATATTCTATCATTATTTTATGAAAATTACTCATTCAAATAATTGGGTTAGGTTACATTTTTAACTAACTAAAAACATATACAAATTAGATACACGAGTAGGTACCTACATAACAATAGAATATTAATTTAATTATCAACGGAATTAAAATATTAAATAATGCAATACCAAAAAAAATATTAAAAATTGCATAAATATTACATTAAATTCTTTAAAACGAATTAAATAAGATTCAAAATAAGTAAATGTGACGTCAACCACACAAGGCTAGATTTAGATTAACTGGCATAATAAACGTGAATTAATGAATAAAATGAGCTATTGTTGGTATAACATAAGTTGGTAACTACATGATTATTATGTACCTAAACCATGTTTTGGTCTAGTCAAACCCTATATCCTGGGTTGGTAGACTGCCATTTTTGGTAAGTCCTGCCATAAAGTTTGGATTTCGTTTCGGAATATACCGGTAAATGAGCAGACGGATCACCTGATGGTAAGCAATCGACGTCGCCCATGGACACCATAGCGTTATCGGTCTTTCGAGATAATTTGAGGGTTGATAGGGATTCAGGGATTGAGAAAGGCGGAGGGGTAATTAGACCTCCGGTAACCTCACTCACACGACAAAGCACAACGCAACCGTTGTTTCACGTTGGTCTTCTGTGAGGCCGTGGTATCACTCCGGTTGAGCCGGCTCATTCGTGCCGAAGCATGACTTACCCATACTTAAACGAACTTAAAAGTTTATAATTAACACGAAATACTATTTTGCTTTCCTATTTAGTCAACGAAAAATATTATTTTTTAATATCATAGTGATATAAGTTTCTATTGTACCTACATATGTAAACACAAGGTACATAATATATTTATGTAAACAGTAGCAGTTAACATAGCACGGTACCTACACAATAAATAAGCACAAAAATATTACAAAGATTTATGTTTGCATTGTTATAGTATTGTTAAACAAATACTTTGTATCAAGCCTTTACATAGACCCATATATGGACTAGGTATGTAACTGCAGACTGCAGTAGACATTACTCATCTTCCTTAACATCGTAAAACTTTCCATTGTAGTCAACAACCTGACAATTAAACTTTACCTTTATATTGTTGACCTTGGAATCTGTACGTCAGTAAACCGGGAAGTAAGGCGTGTTGTGACAAATGCCGATATTTCAGAGAACACTGAGAATAGCCTGCCCAGTGCGGACTGGTTTTCGATCCCCTCAGTTACGTAGTCAATATTTACTTGTACAAACTAACAGTTGAACTCGATGTGCTAAGTACTTTGGTACTGTTCTTACTTGTTTATGAAATTGTCTAGAAGATTTTTAATTTTTATAGCAGTGCTTCTTATGATGATTAATTGTTCAATCACTTAAAAGTTTGGAACATTGAATACAGATTACCTAAACGGCATTTACGAGGATTTAATAAGCCAAGTTGTCTAAGAGAGAAGTCTTACTAGACACCTAACACGATTTTAGACTCTCCAAATTGGAAAAACGTAACCCATTTTTTACAGTGAGGAGAATATTAAACTGTCAAACACCAAGCGGTCACCGGTGACCGCGACCTATTGTTCTTTAATTGTGTCTATAAAACCGGTACTCGACGAGTTAATCAGTCGCATTTTTTAACCAAAAGGTATTTACAAATTAGACTTTTTTTAAGGAAGGTAAATCATCGAATGACTGCTCCCGCTCGGGTGAGGCAGGAGGGAATGTTAGACTCTTACTGACTAAAACCCACCCCGTTCCTTCTTCTGCACGTCGAGCCGGAGCCCCGGTTACCCGTTAGGTTTACCGCGACTCCTTACAAATTAGACTAGAGTCTAGATTTGTATTGTGTCTTAGGTCATGTTCTAATTCATTGAGACACAGTTAATTTGACATACAAATAGTAAAAATTATAAACTGCAGTCTAACTAGAATATACTTACCCTTTAAATACACCCGACTTCGTTACTTTTGTTATTTACTCGACTTCGTTTTCCTCATTCAGTTGTCAAGTCCGGGTAAAAGATCTTACCGTGTCACCGGTGTCGAGGGCGACCATTGTGAGTGACAAACTAATAAACATACAAATTCATTACGTAGGTACTTCACTACTTAAATTATCTACTGAGAATTATTTTGTATCAACACGGTTTCAAAGTAAAAACTATGTGAGTATTTTATGACCCCTTTCAAGAATAAGAGAAGATGTACCCGGGACCTTTTTTTTTGGAGGGTGGAAAATCACTCACTTACTTCTCCCGCCTTGGGTTGGCAAGAGGGAGTGTCAGACTCTTACCGACTAAAAACCACTCCGTTCCTACTCCTGCTCTTCGAGCTGGAGCCCCGGCAACCCATTAGGCCTTCCGTTATTTATTTATTTATTTATAAGCACATGTATAACTTTACAGCACAAGCCAAAACATTAAACATTATTATGGGCTATATGGGCTACTGGGCCCCATCTATGGTAGTTTGATGGCCCTTTGAGGCGCGCGCGGAACGCGACGCGCTGTACGCACGCGTCTGGTTCTCGTCGGGCGGCGAGCTACCCTTGCTCACCGTCCGGTGACCACCGTCGAACCACCTACGGTGGCCGGAGATCGTCACGCGATCGCGTACCCGGGACCTACGTGTAGTATTGTTTAACTTATTAAAAAGGATTGACTGCCTCGTTGGCCGAGTGGTCGCCAGTGCGACTGCCGAGCAAGGGGTCTCGGGTTCGATTCCTGGATCGGGTAAAGTATTACTGGGTTTAAAAAAAAAATGTCAATTGCCCGGTAATCGCAATAGGCTCACCCCCTATTACATTGGAATCATAACATAAATAGTTAAAAGTAGGTGTTACATTGTGCAGTGGCATTAAGTGCCATAATGTGCACCTTGGGGATAAAAGGCGTGATGTTATGTTATTAGGAACTTGATTAGTGTTTCAAAAACTGTTCTACATACATACATACATAACATCACGCCTTTTATCCCCGAAGGGGTAGGCAGAGGTGGACATTATGCCACTGTACAATGTAACACCCACTTTTCACTATTTATGTTATGAGTCCCATGTAATAGGGGGTGAGCCTATTGCCATATACCGGGCACAATTCCAGACTCCGTGCTACTACTGAGAATTTTTAAAAACCCAGTAATACTTTGCCCGACCCGGGAATCGAACCCGAGACCCCTTGCCCGGCAGTCGCACTTGCGACCACTCGGCCAACGAGGCAGTCAGTAATGTAGGTAATTTTACTGATTTCGGTTTATTGGAAACTTTTCTATGATCTCTTCTTTTCTTGTGTGTCATTGTTAGGTAGTTTGTATCTACTTAGATACAAACAATATTTGTCAATTAATGTTTGTACGTAATTTACGGTTTTTTCGTCTGCCTAAGAACAAACCGTCCATGACTTGTTGTTAGAGATCACAGTAGTTAAGCAATCGAATCTAGTTGATCATTCAAAATGTCTCTAAGAAAAAAATAGGAAGTTACGACAGCATTTTGTATCAGTGGCAAAAGTTGAAGGACGTTCAAGATGTGGCAAGTCACACAATCATTATATCATCCATAGGATTTCCACTGCTGGACATAGGCCTCCCCCAATGAGTTCCAGATAGGCCAGTTGGAAGCGACCTGCATCCAGCGGCTCCCTGCGACCTTAACCAGGTCTTCTGTCCACCTTGCGGTAGCTTAATTGATTGAGCAGTATTGCTATTGAGAATTTCAAGCGAGAGATTCGTATTAACGGCCAAAGTGCCCAAAGTGACCAAAGGCCTCTTCTCACATAGAGAAGGTTTGAGCATCAATGACCTCGCTTGCTCGATGCGGGTTGGTGATTTCAAACTTATAATTTGAAATTATAAGTCCAGGTTATCTAAATAATCTTATAAAGTACCAACATATAACTGGGAAACAGACACATTGGTACTTGTTTTTGGTATATTTCCACAGATATATTCGAACCCGCACCCTCATGCATGAGAGGCGGGTGTTTTAGACCTCTGATCCACCTCGACATTTTCAGCGAGAGAAATACAAGCGACAGATTCAAAGAGCCTTTATCAGAGATAGATCGATACCATCCCTGTGTAGTCACAAAGATACTAGGATTGATCCATCTTCATCATCTTCATTCAGTTGGTATTCGTCTATTTCTGGATAGCAGATATAATGTAGGCCTCTCCAAGATGAAAATTTAGTTCTGAAAAAAGTTGTGTGCCTAGTTAGTCGTCGTTTTTATCATCGGCCTCGATCTCGAAGAGTGAAAGTCAGACTTTACTGGATACAAATTTTTTTCGATTTTAAGACTAGTGCTCACAGTGCTCACTTCAAAGGAGGATTTACGCTTGCTCTCTAATAGACACGTTTTTTGATAATTCGGTAGGTCGTAAAAATAAGCTAAAGTAAATTAAAAGATACCATCTGGCAAAACATATTTTATTGTTTTTTCCATCTTTACTACAAATTCGATTTAAATTGGCGACCAGTAAGACAAAAAAGTAAGAATAGCTGAATAGCCGGGAATTCAATCATATACAAATTATAAGACAGATATAGGTACTTAATATTGTTTTTGGTAACTAAGTAGTCGTTAAGTTATTAGTTAGGTGTCATTCGAAATTAAGTTATTTTCAAGCAGGAAGTACTTTTTGCGAAGTTCGTTAACTTGTCTAAGAAGTAGTTAGCTGCCTGTTATTACAGTAACATTATGTCATGTTACGACTAACGTATCCACCTACTGTTGACTTAATTTTAAGTAGTTACATGTTCTATCTATATTTAAGTACTTTGCTTACCTATGATTTTTACAATAGGTACATAGTACGTTACTTGGCAGGTACCTAACTACTTATTTTAATAATGATACTTGTTACCTAAGTTTACGTCACTCTGGGACACGTGGTCGTGGATATCATGCGCCTGTTATTTAGTAGAATCAATCTGTCGCTGAGAACCTAACAGGTTACCGGGGCTCCAGCTCGACGTGCAGGAGAAGGAACGGGGTGGTTTTTAGTCAGTAAGAGTCTGACACTCCCTCCCGCCTCACCCAAGCGGGAGCAGTCATTCGATGATTTAAACCCTTTATTATAAATTATAACAGAATCATAAATTCTATACGAAGTGAAAATTAAAGCCATTAGATAAAAACGAAGATGTCAGTAATTATCTATGTTGTTTTCATTCATTTTCAGACACGACCTGAGCAAATCCAAGCAGTCCATCACAATTAGGTGCAGCGTGGATTTAAACGGAGACTACAAGCTGGGTGGGCAACTGCTGGTGCTGCCCATTAGGGGAGAGGGGAAATACCATATTAATATCCGTAAGTAAACGCATGAAAGACTACGACAGCTAATAAAACTAAGACCTTTCAGTGATGAAGATAGAAAATATGGCTATCATCGTGCAATATAGAGGTACTATGATTTTAAACATGCCCAATTATAGTCCACTAAAATTACATTCACAGAATTAATTTAAATAAGGTACCTATTTATTTTACGTTAAACTTTCGATAGATATAAATTGTTTCTGAAAGTCGTTGAAATTTTGAATTAAACATTTTCAGACAGACATGTTGATGTGGAAGGATCTTTATTGTACTTGTTTAGGGAACAGAGAGTATAGTTCCCTAAGATCGGAAAAACAGGATCCTCCGACCAGGCGAGGTGATCGTGCCTGGCGGGCTTTCTGCCCAACAGTTGCTCGTTGGGATTATCTATCCGTGTTAAATCGAATGTAAACTTCGCATGTGCGATGTAGGATTTTATGACGTCATCCGTTGACTTGTGACATGTGTCGCCACACTTGTTTAACTACTTGTATGAACCAAAGAAAATAATTGTCTCGTTACATTACTATCAGAATCTTATTCGCGTTTATTATTTAATCGTTTATAATAATTTATTGTTTCAGGTGATATAGTGATTAAAGCCAGCAACGCGCTAGTGACGGTCGACGGCGATGATGGCAAGAAGCACTGGCACATCGACAACTGGCATTTCACTCATCAGGTCAAAACTGGTGCAGTCTTCAATTTCGATAACCTTTTCAATGGAAATAAGATTTTGGGTGAGTTGTTTAAGTCAAAATTAAAGTTAGGTATTCCTATGTCTGCGACGGCCTAGTAGGTTACCGGCTCCCCTTGAAGCAGGAGTCGAAACAAGGTGGATTCTAGTCAGTAAGAGTCTGACGGGAGAAGACGTTGGAAGAAAGGGCAACTCACAACTCTAAATAAAATCGTGAGTGTGTGTCACACCGATCATTATACTCATAAAATAAATATTTACATTTCAGCTGGGCCTGTAGAAGACTTCGTTAATACAAACTGGCGTGATGTAATGCGTGAGATAGCTCCCCCAATCGTTCACGCCATTGTTGCGCGTGTTGTGGAAGATGTAGAAGCACTGTACAAGGCTGTGCCCGCAGAAGAACTTTATATTCCATAAATAGAACCTAAGCCTATGTACACATTCAATCTAAGTAACTATGTAGGACATATCAAAACAGTGATAATAAATTAGATTAAGTTTCATTGCGTTTTATTTTTTTTCTGGTAACGTAAACATAAAGACAAAGGCATTATTTCAATTAAACCATAATTGGTACTTTTGAAATGTCAACAAATACAAAATAAATATAAAATACAAACCTTCAAGAAAAGAGCGTATTCTTTTTTAAAAGGTTGGTACCGCAACGCTCTTCTGGTGTTGCAGGTGTCCATGGGCGGCGCTGATCGCTTACCATCAGGTGATTCATCTGCAAGTTTGCTTCCTACCTATTCCATAAAAAAATAAAAATAAAATAATAGTCTGTCAGTCTGTCTGTTAGTGAAGTTAAGTATAGTAAACTACTGACATTTTTAGTGCCTCAATAATTTGTAAATGACATTACGTACTTCACTAAAATATTTAGTCGACGAATGGACATCACTACGGTCAAAAATAACATTTCTTTAAGCTGTCACTGTCAATGTCAGATAGATCTGATGTATTGAGGTTATGTGATTGACGAGGTTATGTTGTTTGTGATTTGAATCTTGTGCCTGTGAATTTTATATTGTTGTGTATTGATTATTAAAAGTAAAGAAAAAAGAACGGTATACCTCAATATGTTGTGCCCAGAAGTATGGAACTTTCCTCCACCAAAAGTAATGATAACCCACAGAAAAGACCAGGATATGGAATCAATAAACAAAACAGTGAACATGAACTATTTCTACAGAAGCTTAATAATAACATGCCCTGATGAGATACAAACGCCGAGTTCCATTCAAGATTTAATAACAGAAGACACCGATTATTACAAACTGTCCGATTGTTCACTCACAGAATTTGTGGAGCCAGTTTTCATTGAAAGTTTTATTAAAACCGGCAAAGTATATTGTTTATCAACAGACAGAAATTGTATTATACAAAATTGTGCTGCTATAACTCCTGATGGACATCTTGTATTACATATTCCTGATTATGTTTTCCAAACATTAGGATTTGAAGGAACGAAGCGCCTACACAACTTTTATGAAGTGAAAATTAATCTTAAAACAATAAAGAACCACTCGAAAGTGCGGACATCGCTGCAGAAGTTGGATAATTTTGACTTTAATATAACTTGGGAGCCAAATAATGAAGAAATCTGCCCATCATCAATAGCCAAGTATTTCAGTGAGAAGAGTATAAATATTTCAGTTCACTCATTGAAAACAAGGAATGTTATCCCATCAGTGGATGAAATACCAGCAGTGATAGATGTGGATATCGAAGAAATGGTTGAGTGGGTGGGATTACTGGCATATGGAGTAGACATGACTCCGACAGAACAATACATAAGCACTTATTGTCAACCTGAGAGTGAGAATGCAATTAAAACTGGAAGAATAAGCATTATGATAGCCAGTGGTTTCATAACTCCTTCATTGGTAAATAATATATGCAAGAAATTATCAGAACATGTTCTTGCCAGGGAAATAGACAATTATTGGGCCTCCATAAGCATACAGAGTGATGAGAATAGTTTGTGGCAATGGAATCCAAGTAGTCAGCCTATGTTTCAAGCTCATGACTCTTCATGTAATGTATTTTTTACACATAATGGACATGTATTGTATTCAATAGGACAAATAAAATATTCATAAAATAAAGTGTGTGGTCTTTTTTAGCCTGTGTAAAACCATTGGAAGAGTCTTGTTGATAATTTCTATTGCTTACATTGCACAGCTACTCAGCAACATTGCTGATGGATTGATGTTAATGGTAGACAGATAGATTAGGTAGTAAAATCATTAAATAGAAAACTAAAAAACCTATATTTTGTAAACATAAATACATCTTACTTACATAATACATCTACATAGGTAACAGGTTGTGTCTACTAAATTCAGAATAAACTATTATAATATTAAAGATAGGAATGTTTTCATATTGGCAGTCTCAAGTATTTTTAAGGGCAGGACAGAGGTGGTACTACTGGAAATCTTTTCTATAATGATGATTTGGTACTGGACATCTGCGGTAAAAAAATAAAAAATAAAAATCACATCAATTTAGGTAATTTTATTGAAACAAACCAGTACATAAGACATTACATGTGCCCTGCACCAATAATAAAAAATAAACATCAAAAGATTCCAATCATTTGTTCACTGAGATATGCCAGGAATGCTATTAAATAAAATACAACATCTAATAGTCTTACATGCTAACTAGGTTGGCAACCTATATTGCAGTTTCCATTTGGAATTCAAACCCTGACATTGATTACACTAGTATTAGATACCCAAAATATTACACTTAGAAGAGGCACAAACATCAGTCCAGGTTAGAGGCTGATTCTCCAGTATCCAGCTTGTACTGTATCTGTGTCTATAGTAGTGATAAACTGACTGTATGATGGTGATATGTGCCCAAAACAATGTTGCTCATAGAACCAGCCTCTAACCCTTTATCAGAAAGTTGCTACAAGCAGTTGCATTGCTAATACTAAAGTAACAATGAAGGGAGAGGCTGAAGAGTAGGACTTTCTAGACCTGGGCGATTCCAATGACACCACAAGCAATGCGAGCGCCAGCGTTGCCTGTTGACTTGCTCAGCTCGTGACCACCAAGGCCGAAGTCATCAGGGTCGGCGTGCACAACCAAGGTACGGCCAATTATGCTGTTGGGTCCATTCAGGGAGATCAAACTGTCTTGGATACACACCTGTAAAAGTAATAGTAATATTGTGGTTATAGCACAAAGAAATAGAAAATTTGGACAACTTCTGGTAATCTACTGACTAGAGCCATTCTTAATCTTCTTTCAGTAGTATGGGAAATCTATGATCATACCTTTGTGGCGCCGCCACCAGAAGACTCAATGTTGCCGAGATCTCCGACGTGACGGATGGGGGCGTCTGGACCACCGTGCTCCACCTTGCAGGGGTTGAAGTGCGCGCCCGCTGATGTGCATCCATTTGTGTTGTCACCGAATTCGTGAATGTGGAAGCCATGCTTGCCCTGAAAATAATGAGGTTCATAGTTTATTGTAAATCAATCCTTAGTCCCCAAGTCTTACTAAACAAACTATTAATGGGTTTTTCATAAATTCTATTAGGTCTTTGATAAATCTGATCTTTCATACATGGGACTAAGAAAATAATAGGGAAAAGTGCATTATAAAAGTTTGTTACAACCTTATGTTTGTTGATAAAAATATCTGTCTAATGAACAGTTATTAACAAATAGATTTTTCACAAAGTAAAACTTCTTGACACTGCATATGATAAAGTAAACAGTAATAATAAAACTGTAAAAGTCGATAACTTATCAGAACATTTCTCAATTTAACTGGGTGTTAAAAGAAACATGTTTGTAGTTAATGATAACCAACATTATAAAGTCGATAACACACAACATACCTATTCACCTTGAACATGTAGCTACTTATACCTGTGTTTGTTAGTTATTGTCTATGTAAATTTTATGTGTGACCACTTCCTACAAGTATCAAAGTTGCATCGTCATTTTGAATCAATCAATAAATTTTACATCACTGGAGTTATGTAATAGAATTATTTTACTTTTTAGATGTTTTGTTGTGATATCATAATGTATTGTAAGACTCAAAAACAGAGTTCTAGTTGGTTGTTTAGACAATGACTTGACTGTTTATACAGAAAATGAAAAATAGAATATAAGAGCACATTATAGATTGTTATTGTAGATGGTGTTTGGTATTCTTCATCTAATCTATATATATAAAAATAAACGCTTTTTTTCTCTTCATCATGCTTGAAACGCTGGACCAATTTCACTAATTTGTTTTTTCATTGTATTTGTTATTAATAGGATGTTCTTAAGACACAAAATATCGTGAAAATCCTACAAGACCCAGAGAAATGGCATTGCATGTACAAAGTCACAGGAAAAAGCTAGTCTGAGATAAAAATAAGAGAGAACATAGTAGATTCTTAATGGACTATGTACTTCATCTATTAAATATTAGTTTACCCTTTTCATATATAAATGGCATGTTATACAGTTAACATCAGTCTCTAAACATTGGAAATAAGGTCTCTAATGTAGTTAGTAGAGAGCGATTCTCCGGTGACAGCTTGGGGATATATGCGTTAAGTATATTTTGTTTAACATTTAAAAGTGCCTTTTTGGTTAGATTGAAATAAATTACTTTGATGTATGTCTGATTTTATTGTAAGTACAGAAAGTATGTCAGCCTCATGAATAATTAATTTGTATTCATTACATACAAAAATATTCTGTAAGTACATACCTTTGCAAGACCTTCAACTTCACCGGTCAGCACTACAGGGCCCTTATCTTCCTGAAAAATATAAAATAATATAGTGAGATATTGACATTTTGATATAGGTAGATTAATTAGTAATTTTACTGATTTGGCTATATTTTTACTAGCTTCAATTATTTATTTTTATTATTATGTTTATTTTTTGGCAAAACACCAATTTCATAATTAAATATTTTTAAAAAATAGTGTCATCAACTTCCAAGTTTGTCTTGATCTTTTTGTGGCAGGTATCTCAAAGATAACAACAATATTATCTTCTAAGAACATCTCACATTATCATCATGATTTTTAATTGCTTATGTCATGCTAAGAATGCACAAACCATATTGGACTATGTAACTCTATAGTTGTTTGACGACATTCTTCATAAAAAACATGTTTTTATAATTTCATAATGTTTGTAGGTACCCGTACGCGATGTTCCAGAACCATCTTGTAAGAACGATAAGAATTTAGTGTCTATAGATTGTAGGTAGGTAGCCACTTAGCATGTTACTCCATATTTTATACTTGAAATCAAACATGCTTACTGTCAATAAAGTATGTTTTCAAGGTTATATAATTATGCCACTCCTGTTGTAACATTATATACGAAAAATTATCGAATAATTACCTGTTGGGCAAAGTAAATCGTTCCGCTAACGTCGCCCTTGAGAACACACACAGCTTTAGTCGGCATTTTCAAATTCGATTATAAAATAATTCGATCACAAGTATACTAGCAAAACGTACACCTTAACGCTTTAATTTCTTCGTCAGTAATGATTTCCCTGCAGCGATAACACCGGAAAGATTTCTAATAAGAACGAAATGAATGAAATAATGCGGTCGACAAGTCGAATCGCTGATGGCCAATAATTTGACGTTTCTCTATTCTATCATAAACCTAATAAACTCTTTGATCTATGTGATTGATCGCAATTTAATTTTTATGAACGCACCATATTATTGGTGTTATGTTTTTATTTTAATATAATTATATTTATTGTACGTGTTATGTTGTTACCGAAAATTTTTGTAAGTTTCATTTACATACACACTACATATTTATGTAGTTTTAATTTAGTACACTACTCCACTTCCAGCAACAGAGAACTAAAAAGCCATGAGTTTGAAATATGGCTGTATAGACAGCCAACTCGCTGAACTCGCTTCGTTCTATTTTCTCCAATCATTTATATTTTTATTTAGCACACTACCATAACCACATGTATTTAAAATTAATCATAACCATAACCATTATCATAGTAAACTACAAATACCTACTAAATAGTAATTTAAATATAGAAGATCCAACAGTCAAACATAATTTACATATAGTTTTGTTGGACATGGCGTTAGATTATAAGGCATACCATGTACCTTTATTATTAATAAATAAATAATAATAAATAATCGTCATTTGTTAGTTGTCTGTTGTCTGTGTCGCTTGTCATTGTCAGTTTTTCACTCAGTTTATCTGTCATATCCTGTATTTGTTGCGAAGCGTGCAATTTGTAATTGTATAAAAATAAAAATAAGAAAATACTAGCAATTGTTACATTTGTTACCTCTACAGACTTGTTTTACTTTTCTATTTGTAACTATGGAAAATATGAATTATAATTTCGTCGCACCGACATGTACGAATGTAAGTAAATTGTGGCAAAACGTAACCATGATATTATTTCTGGCATAAATCAAAAGTTTTGCTTTTTAAACTGTCAAACGCCAAGCGGTCACCGGTGACCGCAACCTATTGTTCTTTAATTGTGTCTATAAATACGGTACTCGACGATTTAAATTAATTGATATTGTGACCGACTAAATAATGTTAGCGTTATAAATAACGTAAAACTGTTAGTTTATCGTTTTCGCGGCTTTGTACTTCACTACCTTCCAGCAAAACTTAGACCTTTTGTGGCCTGGCCAGCACAGTTGATTCTTCTTATGTCTAGGAAAATAACAAAAAAGACCTACTTTCCAAAAGCAGTATAACTAATATGACATGCAAGACATGCCCCTTACTGGCTTAAATATATCATCTTATCTAATTGCCTTGTTTGCTAACTATCAGTAACTACACTGTGTGATAGTGGAAATGCGCACACAAGAAATCACCATGATTATGATGCTAACAATATTTAATTTTTAATTTTTACATTCCAGGTTCCGGCTGAAATTGCTCAAAATAGTACCATATTAGAGGAGGGACCCAGGGTAAATATTTTTGTCTAATATTGAAGTATGTGTGCAACTATTCATCATTATATCATCATATCAGCCACAGGACGTCAACTTCTGAACACAGGCCTCCCCCAATGTCTTCCAGATAGACCAATTGGGAGCGACCTGCATCCTGCGGCTCCCTGCGACCTTGATCAGGTCGTCTGTCCACCTTGCGAATGGACGTCCTATGCTGCGCTTGACGGTACGTGGCCTCCATTCGAGAACCTTTCTGCCCCAGCGGCCGTCGGTTCTCTGTGCTGTATGCCCTGCCCATTGCCACTTCAACTTGCTAATCGGCTGGGCTATGTCGGCGACCCTTGTTCGTTTGCGGATTTCCTCGTTTTTATCTGATCTCGTAAAGAGGCCTCGAGCATAGCCCTTTTCGTAGCGCGCTGAGCGACTTTGAGCTTCTTTATAAGGCCCACAGTGAGAGTCCACGTTTCAGTTCCATAGTTCATCACTGGTAACACACACTGATTATAGACTTTAGTCTTGAGGCACAGAGGTATGTTGAACGAGAAGATGTTGCGTAGTTTCCCGAACACTGCCCATCCAAGTTAGATTCGACGATTGACCTTCATCTCGAAATTGGACCTACCTAGCTGGATCACTTGTCCCAGGTATACATATTCGTCGACAATTTCGAGGGTAGAGCTCCCAACTGATATCGGGTAGGGCGTAACATGGGCGTTCGACATGACTTTCGTCTTGTCCATGTTTATTCGGAGCCCTACTTGTTGAGAACCTCTACAGAGGTCATCGAGCATTGATCCTCCAGCGATTCTGCCATGACCACAATGTCGTCGGCAAACCGGAGGTGTGATGTACTCGCCGTTGATGTTGATGCCAGATCCTTTCCATTTCAAAAGTTTGAAGGCGTCTTCCAATGCAGCGGTAAATAGTTTTGGAGTATTATGACGTCTGCTTGCCTTACACCTAGCTGCAGAGGAATATCCATCGTGTTCTGGTCCTCGGACCGACATAGTGGCGTTTGTGTACAAGCACTTCAAAACCCCGATGTACCGATGATGTGATGTGATAATCGATATGGCAACGCTGGAGAGATCTTAACACTGCCCAAGTCTCGATTGAATCAAAGGCCTTCTCATAGTCCACAAACGCTAAGCATAGTGGCAAGTTATACTCCTCGGTCTTCTGTATAACTTGCCGCAGTGTATGGATGTGGTCTATGGTGCTATAGCCTTTCCGGGAACCGGCTTGTTCGGGAGGCTGGAAGTCATCAAACTTACATGTTAGACGATTCGTAATGACCCTCGAAAACGAATTGTTGACATGGTTCAGAAGTGAGATGGGTCTGTAATTTTTCAGTAGTGTTATCTCCCTTATTGAAGAACAGCACCACCACACCTCTGCTCCATGCCGCCGGCGTTACTTCATCGAATATGACGGAGTTGAAGAGCTTGTCGCAGGGACTTCCATATCTATCTATTGAGCTGCCGATGTGCTCTAGCATTGTCAGAGATCTGGAGCACCATGGCGCGTCGTTCTGACATGAGTCTGAGGATACGATCGGTCAGCTTCTGCGGTCTGTTTTTTCGGCGGGGCGGGGTCTAAAAAACTTCGACCTGGCCGCATGGACAGTTTCTACGAACCTGTTGCTAATCTCGTCCACTGACTCGCAATTCATCAGGCACTCAAAACAATTTGATAGCTCGATCTGAAAACTCTCGGGGCAACCGAAATGTGCATTTGAAGGTCGGAGCGTGGACTTTATCAGACGGGATCTTTCCAACTTTAAATTGATATTCAATATGCCTCTGACCAGTCGGTGATCGCTACCGGTTTTTACCGAGTGTGGAACGTAATATAGAATCACGTTTGTACGACACTACTGGATGCAGAAAGCATGGCTCATAGAAATGTCAATTCTCAGAAAGCACGTTTCGCCGAAAACTTTATTGTTAGAAAATATTGTTCGTAGATATCTCGCTCCATAGAAAGCACTAGCCATAGAAATCTTTATTCCTAGACAGCTCGTTTTGCCGAAACCTTTGTTGGTAGAAAATACTATTCGTAGATATTCTGTTCATAGATAGAATTTTGAAAAAAATTTCTAAAAATTTTCTAAAAATGAAAACAAATATGCAGCTTAGCATTTATGGTCACGTAAACTTAACGTGCACACGCAATTTTATCTCAATTGGTCTAAGATATCTGCTTCAAAATTGAGTTGCTAGATTCCACTTAACACATAATACACAACATTTGTAACGCCACAATATACTACTTAACACATAATACACCTGGAACTAGTGGCGATACATTTTTAAATTACCTTAATTTTTACGAACTTGTACAACATGGAACTTGTGGCGTTACAAATGTTGTGTATTATGTGTTAAGTGGAATCTAGCAACTCAATTTTGAAGCAGATATCTTAGACCAATTGAGATAAAATTGCGTGTGCACGTTAAGTTTACGTGACCATAAATGCTAAGCTGCATATTTGTTTTCATTTTTAGTTGTTATTTCTATCAGAATATCACCTAACCTACGTAGAAACTGACAGTGGAGCTTATTATCTGAAGACTGTATATTTATGTTTTGTATTATTAAAATTGTATTATAGACACATACCAACAATAGTATTATTACGGATTTTTCTCAGAGACAGAAAAAACAAAACAGATTTATTCATATGACAATTTTTTTTTTATCTAGGATAATCAAACAAATACCTTTATTTCCATTTTGTTCATATGCATATTCATAGTTACCTTTGCTTTCTGTGAATCAAGGTGAAAAATTCTATCTATGAACAGAATATCTACGAATAGTATTTTCTACCAACAAAGGTTTCGGCAAAACGAGCTGTCTAGGAATAAAGATTTCTATGGCTAGTGCTTTCTATGGAGCGAGATATCTACGAACAATATTTTCTAACAATAAAGTTTTCGGCGAAACGTGCTTTCTGAGAATTGACATTTCTATGAGCCATGCTTTCTGCATCCAGTAGTGTCGTACAAACGTGATTCTATATTACGTTCCACACTCGTTTTTACCTTATGGATCACAGAGACATCATTCATCTGTCGCTTAGTGGTCATGATGAAGTGATCCCATTTTCGTTTAAAGTAATCGTAACGAGTACGCGTGATTGGCCGGCTCTAATGAACCAACCAATCAGAGCACAAAACTCCGTCTCGTTTCGATTACTTTAAACGAAAAAGAAACTCGTACTAAGGCCTCTGATTGGCCGGCGCCAATGAACCAACCAATCAGCGCCGAACGCGTACTCGTTTCGAATACTTTAAACGTAAATCAATCTCGTACAAAGGCTTCTGATGTTATAATTACAATGCGACATTATTATATCTAATTTACACCTACACGCCGACCGACGGAAACACGATCGAACTCTCTCGTTAAAAAACGTTACCTGGTCTATTCATGAACAAATAGAAGCTGGCGATGAAAATACCCCATAATTTCAGTTATGAAATGGACTACAACGGTGACGAATAATAGTGTTCATTCGATGCTCTAATCTAAAAGCACCCACACCATCTATTTCATGCATTACCCGTACAAACTTTTTTTAAAAACCTTTGCAGTGTCTAATGTAATCCTTTTCTATGTTTCAGATTTGTCCTCTATGCAACGCACCGGTGAGACTGTACTATGTGCACTACACGTCTAAACTATTTATGTGTGAAAACATCGAGTGCGAGTATCCATTTGGTGGTGACTTTACAGTCTACTCCAGCGATGATGATGATTACTTTTTGTCAGAGTTTGACACTGCCAGTTTTAAGCGTAAGAGGGGCAGTAACGCTACACAGTCTATAGCGCAGACAATAAATGGTACTTCAACTGTCGGGACTAATTCAGAACTGTCCACCTCGGAATGGTCCGATATAAATAGATTAAACCAAGCCTATGATTCAGATGAAAGCACGACGCTATCAAAAATATTCACCAGAAAATCGAATAAACGTAAGACAGACAAGAAAGTTAAGAAACAAGAGAATGAAGAACAGATTAAACAAAATGTTGAAAAGATAAAGGAACTGAATAAAGTATTGTTTGAAAACGATGATGATGTAGAAATAATACGTAATGAGAAATGGATTAAGAATTTATCCACAATGCAGTCTTCCACCGGAGGTAAGTTGGTTAAGGAACAAGAACTACTGAAATTAAAAAAGCTTGAACAAAAGCGTGTTCAAGAATTAAAAATTGACATTGAAGCGTCAACAGATTCTATGTCTTGTATTAAAATTGAAATTGGTGGTTTGGGAACAAACAGTAAAACTTAAACATTGTTTTGATTGTGTTGTTTTGATACATTAAAATATTTTTTTTTATAAGGTATGGTACATACCGAAGTATGTCTTGTATGAAAGATGTATCCTGATTATTGGTTAATGATCTTTTGCATAGTCAGGTTGGGATTCTAATATTTTAGTACAAATTATGCTATTTATACTTCTTTGAATAGGAGTATTGATATTTGGTCTGCTGTGCAAAAAGCAGTGACAATACACAAAGGTACCATTGTTTTTCTAATATTAGTTTATATTATGTAACTGAACAGGGAACATGTATGTAGTATGTATGTCATACGTAATAGGGGCAATAATTAAAAGAATTAATAGGAATGACTATTTATTGTTTTGTCCATCCATCAAAAACTATTTATTGTGATAGGTGTTACCTGTGTTGTGAAAGTTAAAATTATATTGTGATTTTTGAGTTATATCTGGTTTTTATTTAAAGTTCCTCCATCCTGTAATGTAAATATGAACCACATTGCTTATCTGCGGGGTTATTATGACGTCCTAAAGTGAGAATGGTTCAATTAAGGGAAAGAAACAGAGCTATACAAGTCGTCTAGCGAGATCTCGTTCTCTCAGCGGAACCCCTCTGGCTTTAAGACGTCATAATGCGCCACCAGTAATGTTTGCGACCATTCAACTAACTTTACAAACCTGTTATAATTTCATTATTATCATCATCATCAACAGCCGAAAGACGTCCATTGTTGGGCAAAGGTTTCCCTCTTAGTCCTCCATCCACGTCTAACATCTTCATTTATTGAGTACAATTCCTAGATTTAAAAATATTACCGGGAATTGTTGAAAACTGAAAACTGAACTTTACTTAAATCGAACCCGAATAATCTTGTTCAATCGTTGGGAGGCCGACCTCTCCACTAAAGTAATCAAGATTAATAGGTATTACGTAAAACCGTGGAAATTGTTTTTTAACAGTTTTGTTCAGAACAAACTATTTTTATGTAGGGATTTAATTTAATAAAGTTGTGTTTTTTATGGGATAAGCCGGTAAACGAGCATACCTGACCTGATGGTAAGCAATTGGCGCCGCCCATGTACTCCTGAAACACCAGAAGCCTTACCGGGCTTTTGGGACTTGGGAATTTGAGGATTGTGGAGGATTCGGGGATTGGGGAGGGGGTAATTGGGCCTTCGATAACTTCACTTACACGACGAAACACAACGCACGGCGTTGTTTCACGTCGGTTTTCTGTGAGGCCGTGGTATCGCTCCGGTCGAGCCAGCTCATTCGTGTCGAAGCATGACTGTCCCACACTTTTATGTAGGTATAAGAGCTCTTATACACGAGCTGCATGTTGCAAAATGCAAATGACCGAGATAACTGCAGCCATCGACACGCGTCGACGGCAGCCGTCTACATTTAAGCTTCAAAGAACGCTACAACTGCAAGTGTCGCTACGGGTCGACCGCGCTGCCGTCGACGCGTCAGCGGTTGTCGCCGACACGTGTGTAAAACCTCTTAGGTTAGCTAGACCTGAGGATATTCTAGCTAGGGCGCCGAGTCACGTTGCTAGTGAAAGCTAATGCGGTCGCCGGCTCATATGTCTGGAAATTAACTTGATAACGTATTGCCCTTCGCTTGATGACGCTAGGTGGTGTTAAGAGAATTCATGGTCAGAGCCTTCTTGATGAGGTGGTTTGTTAATAGTGAGAAATAAATAGGCGAGAGCTAGGTCGGGTTAGGTCTAATTTGAAGAATGAACAGGTAAATGAACACCAACCTATACCTACTATCTGAAGTTATTATCTACCTGGAGATGCTCTCGCTACTTCTTCGGTGTTGTGTAGAGGTATATTCTTGGGTGGCGATGATGGAAGAAGACCATCAGGTGGTCTGCTTCTATTTCAAAAGCTACTCTCCAGTTGAACTACGACCCATAGCTAATTAATTAGGTACCAAGGTTGCACTTTCACAATTGCGATGTGGATGGTCGTCAACTTAACTTACTTACCCAGCTTACCTAACTAGGCAGGCACATCAGGAGGGAAGGCACATGAGTTTAGGGTGTGGCAGGACGTTTTCCTAGGAGCTTGAACTTGACTTTCCCTAATGGACGCCGTCCAACGGGTAGAGGTCTCACTACGACGAACATGTTTATGCGATTCATTTACAATCGAAAATGAAATCGATGGACTTTTAAAGATAGATTTTTAAAGATAGTGTAATTATCTACTAACCTACTTACTTGTGTATGGATAGCTAATCAAAATAAACCTTCTGTAAGATAATGGTAAGATACGTTTAATAGGTGGGTACCTAAATATTCAGTTTCAGGAAGAAATAGAAGCTTTGCACAGTAATGCCGGAATACTGAAACGTTACTCAATTTTAAGTCGTGCTTAAATATCGTGCCATCTCTGTCATTTTACAAAGAATTTGTAGAGACAGAACTATACTTAGCGCGAATTTGTAGACAGAACTATACTTAAGCGCGACTTAAAATTGAGTAGCGTTTGAGTATTCCGACATAAGTCACTTAGTATACCTACCTGTTCCAAACACGAACCTAATGATATTAGATATTATCTTACAAATTACATTCCTCATGTTTCTTTACTTCCAATAAAATTAAAACAAGATTCGTCATATTGAATCTGCACACGACGCGGCGCCGCCACCGGCCCGTTCCGAGCTTATATAGGAAGCTGGAGCTGTGCTCTCATCTTACTTTCATTGCCATCGCCAGTGCGCAGGGATGCCAGTCACATAGTGCCAATGCAGTGATACGGTGCCGTGTTATTAAGGTACGTGCCTTTTTAAAAAAATGAAGTTATACATTTTTCAGTTTTATTTTCGGTTTTCCAAATTTACCTATTTAGCATGGAATGATGCCCAGAGGCTGACATAATAAACTTGCCCTCTTAATTTCCGAAACGTGGGAGTTTTACTGTATCCAAATTTGCTTAGATAGGGACCCAGGTACCCTCTTTTTGAATCAAGTTCAAAATTCAAATCGAGTTCTCCTATTTGGTTAATGATTTCCCAAGAGAAGCAGGGAAAATAGCTTGGCATGTTAATGGACAACGTGTACAAGATGATTTATGTGTGTTTTTGCTGGAGGTACTAGGTAGTTGTGTTTTCTAAGAAAAGCTGGGGAAGTTACAACCGGACACTGAACGAGTTGGAACCTGATACGTATCGATAATTAATACTAAACCAGGATGTTATAGTAATGTGGTTTCTTGTCGCTTTTCCCTTTTCTATTTACTTTGATAATATTGGCAGTGTGTAAGAACATATAACATAACATAACATCACCATTTTTATCCCCGAAGGGGTAGGTAGAGGTGGTGGAGGTGCACATTATGCCACTGTACAATATAACACCCACTTTTCACTATTTATGTTATGAGTCCCATGTAATAGTGAGTGAGTCATTGCCATATACCGGGCACAATTCCAGACTCCGTGCTACTACTGAGATTTTTTTTTAAAACCCAGTAATAATGTATAAGAACTATATCCAAATACAGGTCCGGGTCATTCTTTATGTACCTAATTGTGTAAAAATTGGGATATGGGGAAGGCATGACAGTATCATGCAGTAGGTTAGGCAGAGATGCAGATGTGTTATGACAGCCTTCAATCAACTTGATTACAAATTCACAATACACCGTTGATTAACTTACATACATACAACATATTTTACTACATCAGTTACTGTTGAAAAATCATTGCCTATGTTCAGATGCAGTGGTTAGCGACGTGTACCCTGCTGACCGCGCTCGTCAACGGTGGAGGTGGAGTTACTAAGACTTCTGGTGAGTAAACAAGTGCTTTGAAGTTTTCTTCTTAGAATACTTAGACCAAACAATAACCAACTAATTCTCTTTTAGGGCTAATAAGGATTAGACGGGGAATAATAAGGATTAGGCGGGGAATAATAAGGATTAAAGCTTACGTTAATAGGATTTTAACAGCGTATGCGACTTTGAAATCTTGTTGGGATTGATTTAGAACATCATCCCAAAGACAAGATACCCTTTCATTCAATCTCTTATAACAAAAACTGTAGTTTCTATTCACTGCCATTCGTTATATAAATATCGCTCTACATTTTCTAGGGCTTTCTCCAATGTCGTTGGTACAAGTACTTGTAGATCACGCAAGTTCATAATTTTTGAAAACATGCGGTAATCAAATCTAAGACACGCATTGTAACGAGAACAACATGTGACTACTTGTGGTTTTGTAGGGACAATATTGGTATGTGAGCCAGTCGTCAAGTGGTATCCTCACGAATTCAAGATGTTTTCCTTTATCGTATGTCAATGGTTTCTAAATAAACTTAAAGTACCTACCTATTATATCATCATGTCATCAACAGCCTATAAATGCCCACTGCTGAGCAAAGCCTCTTCTCACACGGAGAAGGATTAATCACCACGCTTGCTCAATGCGGGTTGGCGATTACAAACTTATAATTAGAAATTATAAGCCCAGGTTTCCTCACGGTGTTTTCCTTCACCGTTTGTCAGTGGTGTCTAAATAATCTTAGAAAGTACTCGGAAAAACTCGGAAAAAGTCACATTGGTACTTGCCGTTCGTAGGTTTCGAACCCGCATTCTCATTCATGAGAAGCCAGCGTCTTAAACCTCCGGGCCACCACGACCTATATGTAACTTAGGAAAGCTCAAATAGTACTTTCTTCCAAGTTTCGAACCTCCGCATTCCGGGTCACCGTTACGCCTATTCGGTTATAGGAAGTATTTATTTTCACGTCTACTATTGTCTCATAAATCTACAAACAATTACAACTTACAGTAATTGATAAACTATACTAGAACTATTACTAAAAAGATACCATTCGTCGATAGTACCCATTCGTAAGGAAAGTTGGAAAAGACCTGACTAATATCTAGTTTCTACATTAAATTATACAACGAACGTATATAACTGCAAACAGCTGGCAACAACTGGTCTTTGGACGCCCCTGCATAACAAGTGCATTGAATTACTTCTAAACCACACCATCTTTCTCTTTTCAGCCATGAAACGTGATTTAATTATAATTTGAAATTATATTAACGGATGTAAAAAACAATTACCTGGTCGGCAGAACGCCCTAAGTACTTAGGAACTCCCTTTCTCTCTGCGATATTAAATAACAAATTGCTTGCAATTAAAGTACGGAACAGTCACGATGCTGAGATTTAAGAAGACTTGAGTGTTGTATGGGTACTCCGATTGTCATCAATCGTATCATTATAGTTCTAAATCTGTTTCTTTCATAAATATAAGGCTTGCAATATGCTCACAAACTAATACACAAATTACTAACGACTTCGATTTCATTTATTGGAGTTTAAGAGTTTAATTTTATTTCGAATTTTAGACTTAGAAGATGATAAGGACTATTTTCTATTTGTCATGGACAGTGGCTCCATTAGGCTGGTTTTAGTGTCGCGCTGACCGTACGCTGACTGTCGGCGCTGACAGGCGAGAAATATGAACCTCTAGGGACCGTACGCGCTGATAGCTACGCGTCATTCAAAAACGCTACCTATAAGTTCATACAGTCAGCGCTGTCGGTCAGCGCGACATTAAAACCAGCCTTAGGACCCAAACGGACCGTTGGCGATGAAGTAATTGTTAGTGATTTGAGTCTCATCTCATTAATCACGCACTAGACTTAGATGTAGGATTTAACTCTGACACTCTAGCAAAAAGGATTATAATCTTTTACGGTTATGTAATGAACAAATGTGACGGCACAATCCAACATTGCAACTCAACTGCTTAAGATCAATTTCACGATTTCTTTGGCGGGTTTCTTTTCACCAAATAATTAATCATGTAACTTACATGAGTCGGCGGATATTGTGTAGACTTTACTTTTGTATGTGATATGTTCGAAAGTTACGTATTACGTATGTATGGAACAGTTTAATGTCATTTCGTTTCTCTTGTGTTGTCGTGTGTTGTCGCGATGTACCGGTTGTGAAGCGTCACTGTTATTTTATCTCACCTCCAGCTGCAAGATCACAGTTCAATGCAACTTTCTATAGTTATAGATACAGCGAGTGGATGAAGGTTAATCACCTTCCCTTCAGTATACCTAATATCTAATTATAAACTGAAAAAAGGTAGCTAACTTACAAGGAATCTTCTTTTTTGATGTACGACAACGCTTCATAAATTCGTTCTTCTTACAGGCATCGAGCAATTTTGGACGGACGACTACAAAATATTCGAGCAAGTTTACGGCAAAACGTCAGACAAAGACATCTATGGGGAATCTCTGCCACCGAGTATTGTCATAGGCACAGACCATAAGAAAGAATCCTCGCACAAGAATGAACGGTATCTTCTGAATCTGGATCATGATTCTGATGAACAAGACCCTTATGACTTTGGAGACCGTTACAACAACCTGTTAAGCAAACAAACATTGAAACTGCTGAGTAAGAAAAAACCAGCGACATCGTCAATAAACTTCGTAAGCTATTCAAATTTCAAGCCAATAAGTGAAAGTAGTGATCCAGAGACCTACAACTATTTGAAACACTTGGAAGAGCTGAACAACGAGGAGAAATTCAGCTATCCACCGACGATGGGAGGATTTAAGCCTTATATGAGTTATTTAGGGCCAAAGCCGGAAGAAACCGAAGCTTATAAGAGTATACAGGAGATTTTGGAAGCTCACGAAGCTAATAAAGGCAGCAGTCATAAAGATGATGATGATGGTCGTGAAGAGATGAAGTATCTTACTTACCCAAAGAGTAAGAAGAAGAAACCACCGCGGGTGCACAATGAGGTGTCGAAACCTAGATGTGTCACAGGTAGGTGTCGCAAGCGAGGTGCAGGACCATACCGTTCGAGAAGTAGGCCACATGTTAGAGGAGTAAAGAAAACAGTATTTCTTGTTTAAGTAATTCCTTGTTGTTGTTAAGTTTTAGGACAAACATGTGATTTGGAATCTGTTTGTGGGTTTTGTTGTTTTTGATGTTATTGAAGTAGTTGTTGTTTATGTTAGTAACTAGCTACTTCCGTGCGGTTTCACATGCTCTGCTCAGCTCCTATTGGCCGTAGAGTGATGTTTTATAGCCTATAGCCATCCTCGATAAATGTGCTATTCAACACAAAATGAATTATTCAAATCAAATTTGTAGTTACGGAGATTAGCACGTTCAAACAAAAAAACAAACTCTCCCGCTTTATATAATAGTATAAGAGTATAAGATTTAGTAGTTCACATTATCATCATATACTTCATTTTCTTTAGCCCACCATTTAATTATATCAAACATGTAGGTTGCAACGCTATTATAAGCTTAAGTGCTAGTTACCTGTTGCTTGTCTGTTACAAATGTGAGTTAACTTTCCTATCTAAAGTAACAAATTACTTCTCTATTAGCGTTAACAACTTTCAAACTAATATTTTGCTATCAAACAGCAGTTTCATCTTCCGCTATTGTTTAATATTATTAATGTGTTATGTTATCTAATATTATGCATACGAAAGTAAGTGTTGAGTTTGTTAAATTGTTGTTGTCAGTATACGTTACAATCGTTACATAAGTTTAGCGGTTAGTTATAATATTATTAACTAAATATAAGTAATTTATGTTATTTAATATTTAAACACAAACATGCATCATTACTGGAATAAAACACGAATTAGCTTTTAACGTAATTTTAATACTTAGGTACTTAATTATTCTTACATTAAGTTAAGTAATCCTTATCGTCCTAATTTCAAATTAAAATTAGTAGAAAGATTACTGCATTTTCACTCATACGCCTAATAAGGCTTTTAATTATGTAAGTACCAGTCGCCTTGCCCTATGACCTGAGTTACCCGTATAGGCATAGAGAACCAGAGAGAAGACAGCACAAGGGTAGGCAAAGATGAAATTACCTTGTAAATAAACAACAGCTATGCGTCCTCTGCCGCTGCTTACGTAGAAGATAATTTCGAAAAGAAAATAGAAGAATACAAAAGAATAGATTTAATAATAAATCATGCAAAATCAATAGAAGAAGTATAAAAATATAAAATTACATTAATAAAAATATTATAATGTATGCTTGATTACAAGCGCTTGATCATGATGCTGAATATGGTTCAGCGATTCATTTCTTTGGCGGTTTTTTTATTCAAGACTGAACCATTACGGACTAGGAGCTTGCATTTCCAACTCACATGGAAACATTCTCCAAATTGTCCTTATCAACAACCTTTACACTTGCACTTTGAGTAAAGGTGCCTATATTATAGGCTGTAGTAGAAAGATTTTGTACAAGTTCAGTATTAGCGATGATGCCCAGAGTTGAAGTAGCATAGTTAGTTGTCACATCGTTGTCACTGTACACTGCAATTTTAGAGCAACCATTCAATCCACATCATTTAGATTATGATAAAAATTGAAAGTTGCTTTCTATAAAATGTTGATGTATCTTTACAGTTTTCAGCCAACCCTGAGCATATTCACGAAGTGATGTTAGAACAGAAGTTAGTACATGAAGTTAGGGTTAGTTTCACTCTGCCTGCCGTTGGCTACTGGATTGGCAAGGTTTCTGGTCTTCTTTTTAGTTTCCTCGATGCTCTGCAGCAGGAATGGCGGTGGATTATTGGGCCTCTGCTGCCTGCTGTCCAGCTCTCGTGTCAGTTCATCCACGAAATTGGTTTGTGCTGAACTGACTCTGTCATCGTACATGCTGCTGGGCGTTTGTCTGTCTACGAACTGCCCACCCGTCTGCCTGGAAAAATAAGGGGATTAGCGAGAGTTTTTTGTAAAGGTTTTTTGGTGATCAATTAGGTCATTGAAGTGACTGGTGAATTGATCGTGAAGATTGCAAACGAAAAGACCTATGTTCAGTAGTCGCATTTGTGTCCACTCAACAAACAAGTCAGTCAATGGCAATGACAACGAGTAATTTGAGTGAGGAAATAAAATTCGTAATAGTGTGATGCATCATTGGTTGATGAACAAAACAAACTATACAAACAAGAACACCTCGGTACATAGTATTAACTAAAGAATTTAATCTTTATGACTAATTTAGTCGGATCTGTAATGACGCATTACTAGGAACTAAAAATAAAGCGATAATCATAATGAAAGCAGGTGTTGTTGAGTACCTGAGGATAAATGATTACAAACAGTTTCAGATAACATTAAGATTGTAAACAATGCTCTAATAACCGAAGTCAATACAAATTGAGATCAGTAGGACATCAATGTTCTTGGAAAACGAAGACTTTTCTATAATCTGAAGTTATGTAAACTTTTTTTATGGCATAAGCCGGTAAACGAGCAGACCGATCACCTGATGGTAAGCAATCGGCGATGCGGCGAAACTTGGAATACCAGAGGCGTTACAAGTGCGTTACCGGCCTTTTGGGGATTAGGAGTTTGAGGATCGTTGGGGATTCAAGAATTGGGGAGATTGTGGAAGGGGACGGTAATTGGACCTCCGGTAACCTCACTGACACGACGAAACACACACAAGCGTTGCGTCACGTCGGTTTTCTGTGAGGCCGTGGTATCACTCCGGTCGAGCCGGCCCATTCGTGCCGAAGCATAGCTCTCCCACACATAAACTGTAATGAAGTTCCTTTCTGCCGACATTAGGTATGTGGAAATGTACTACAAAATAAAATTTCTTGTGTTTCAAGTTTGCGTGATTGATTGCCTTGTTCAAGTCTAAGAAAATGTCTGGGTGATCTGCTATTGCAAATGCTAATTGCTATTTACAAATATTAGATGTTTCTAATATTTCTTTTTTTTGGTAATTGTGAGTTATAATCCTAATAAGTTGTTGTTTATGTAACGCACAGATTTATTGCCTAAATGTGGACATTACATTTAACATGTTCACCTTTGCCTATTCTTTCGGGAGGTCGGGTGTCTACGTCTTACCTTCTGTTTTAGAGGACCTATCTCTTAACTTACAACATACATGACTGATGTCTTTTCTAATATATTGCGTGCGTTCTGTATGCAATAATCAAAAGAAATAAAAAGATCTTTATCTTTCCAATATATCAAAACGTATGGTCACTGTATCACGTACCGCTCATGTCGGCCACTCTCCACATCGTCCTGGCTGGTGTACATGGAGTAGCCGCGCCGGGACAGCTCCTCATCAGGCGACAGCGCAGGGTTGTGGAACGCGTGGTTCTTGTCGCTGTCCATCTTCAGCTTCCTGGAATTTAGCATGTTTGGTATGAGTGACTAAAGTTTACCGTAGACTGTTAATGCAATGGTAATATTAACATTCATTAGACGGTCGCACTTCGTAATATAAGAAAATAAATACCGATAAAGCTCCTTTGGTTAACGTGCATGTGTAGTCTTTCTATAACTTTGTAGTTTTGCTCCACGACCATGTAACCGCATACATACGTGGCACACTTATATGGTACACTTAATGCTGGAGCGTTAATAAATGGAAATCTTTGTTTCCAAGTTCATTTCTCGGATCGAAAAAACTTTTTTTGTTTCAAAATCGTTTCCCATACTAAGAATTTATCCTATGCATTTGACTTGTATGTCTGTAAACGTTTACAAACACACAAGTTCACATACAAATTGACACCCAGACCCGTAACAACAATTTGTGCATCACACAAAGAGTTGCTCCGTGCGGGAATCAAACCCGCTACAAGTTGCTAATCAAATGATTGGGTTGTATTATCATACAGTGTCAGGCTAAATCCTTATTGCGTGTAATTTATAACTGGTTAAAACTTCTACATACTGTATCCTCATGCGTCCAGTGGCTTGCATCTCGGCGACCTTCTTCCGGAGGCTGCTGACTTGAGCGCAGAGCACTATAGCCATGATGAACAGCACCACGCAGGCACCACCGAACACGCTCGCTATCACTATTACCTGGGTCTCGACATCCTATACAAAAGAAAGAAAGAAACTGCACATAATTACTATATTACATTCTAGCAAAAAGTCGTTCATCGTCATCATTTCTAAAGCTAGTAATAGCAACATAGAGATTCTCTTAAGATTCCAAAGCAATACATTGATAGCTATGCTAGATATCCCCTACAACGTGAGCAATAAATATATAGGTACACAAGGGGCTAAAAGTCGCCTCCGTCAAACAAGAGATCGCAAGATACAACGAGAGCTATCAGTCGAGATTGTCGAGAATAGTTGGTATCAAAAGTTCAAAATTTGTTGGTACAGGATGTATCACACACTCCAGGTTGATACAGCTTAGTGTCTCTTCACTTACTGTGAGATTTGGTGATACCAGATGAAAGGGATTCACAAGGAGTTTCTTCTGCTGCTGACAAGACAAAAATCAAGACACCCCATCTGAATGGCATATTGTGTTGACACAGATTGCCAAGTAGCAGAAATCAATATAAAAAAATATTGTTTCTCCTCCGAAGAATGATAATGAAAGAAATAGTTTGTATTAGGACGATACCCGACAAAGGAAAATAGAAGAAAAAGACATATTGTGCCGACCCCAAGTACCTTAGGATAAAATCTATATAATTAGCACACAATTATGTCAGATAAAGAGGAAACTCATTAGGATTAACGCAGGTCATTAAGAATTCAAAGCCAATGATTTTGTTTCTTAATTACGATAATCCATTTTTAATCCTTTTTAAGGTCCTGAAGGGATTAGCCGAGTTTCAAGGTTACACCCGGTTTCATGTTACCGTTTTCAAATAAACACATGTCTGAAAATTAGACAAATATAGGTAATAGCGGACAAATATAGGTAACCTAAGTATAAAAATAGGTTTTCTGACAACTGACAAAACTGACAACTTCTTTTTGAAATCGGTAGCAACCTACAACTATATTCGTTTGCCAAAGAAGAGAAAAAAACCTACAACTATGCTTGGGCAATGAAGGTAACTATTATACTATTATAGGGAATTTGCATAAAAATTGGTGCAAATTTATTTCACATTTACATAAAATGTAACATACCTAATGAGTGCACTTATTTTAAAAATAAAAGTAGTTAAAGTACTTTGAAATACGCAGATAATAAACACAGTAGATACCCAAAGCACATATTATTATTTACGCTATCGTCATAACATTAAAATTCCACGAAAAAAGATAAAATTACACATAATTAGTGAATTCATTCTTTATAATCACTTCACTTCACAATACACAGGAAAACCCGTTATTACAAACAACAATAATAATCTTACCATATTAAAGATTGGATCAAAAAGAATCAAGCATTTTCCAATAAATAAACACACAACGCTTCAAGCGAAACATACACTTCAGAACTAATTAACAAGACTGACAGCAAAGAAATAAAAATGGAGGTAGATAAAGAAAACGACGTAAATGATTACGAGTCTTTTGATAAAATTATTGTGAATTTACGAAATAAAAATGTCGTTGACATCATTAGGAATTAAATACAGGCAGTATTCAATTTAGAAAGTATATTGGTGTATTTTGATATAAGGGATTAGGATTCAGTATCTGATCCGGAAGAAATATTATTATTGAAATCTTATTACAATCGACAAAGTTGGTGATCAACCATCATTAGGCTTGTACTCGGTCCGAGCGACCACAGGGAAGACAGGGCGGTGGATAGCGAGTTAGCCACAGGGTTTTATTTTGAGTACCGTCATTATAGACAAAATTAAAGAACAATAGGTTGCGGTCACCGGTGTCCTCGCGGTGTTTAACAAAACTATACCCGTTAACTTTGTCGATAAGTACTAAGATAAGAAAGTAGTAAGTAGTAAGAAGTGTGGGAGAGCCATACTTCGGTACGAATGGGTCGGCTTGACCGGAGTAATACCACGGCCTCACAGAAAACCGACGTGAAACAACGCTTGCGTTGTGTTTCGTCGTGTGAGTGAGGTTACCGGAGGCCCAATTACCCTAGCCCCTTACTCAATAATCCTCAAATTCCTAATCCCAAAAGGCCGGCAACGCACTTGTGACGCCTTTGATGTTCCGGCTGTCCATGGGTCACGCAGATTGCTTACCATCATTTTCAAATTTTCCTGGCTGGATATAAATGTGCAAATAGTTTTTTATGTCTGAGTTTTACGTGACTACGACGAAGGAAAAAGAAGTGTTATATACTTTTTACAAGTTATCTAAAACGCGCGGTGACTGCACTGGGTAACCGGCTGCCGCGCAACGTCTAACTGGTTCGATTCCCGTACGGAGCAACTCTTTGTGTGATCCAAAAATTGTTCTTGCAAGTCTGGGTGTCAAATATCACATACACCTGTATGTGATATTTTATGTTTGTAAACGCATCCACAACACAGGAAAAAATCCTAGTGTGGGGCAACGATTATTAATAAATTACATCTCTGTGAATAATGACCTATTTCTTATACTTAGGTAGATGTTAAGGAATTTTTTCCCATCAACTCCATTAAAAGTCAAATTTGAACTCTAAGTAGTAAACATTAGTCTTCAAAGTCTAGAAATCATCTTTTATCTTTGTACAAGTACGTCTCTTTTCTTTCTCCGTTCCTCTCGTACGTGGTTCTCACGTTCTACGAGATATTTCAAATCAATAAACAAATACTTCGAACCACGATAACACAAGTATTTGTCACTTCTTTCGATAAAAATCAATATCTTTCATCGTCACTGCTTTTATCAATATAATCTCATTTTCTATAAAATTCCAATATTGTTCTGTATCAAGATTTAACTTAGCGGTATGTTTCAGTACAATTGAATCTAAATTGCTTTATTGCATTATTTTGTAACTAAATTTTCAAATAATTTTGTCAAATCAATCAAAAATTAGTATCAGACCATTATCGACTACAGAAAAAACCTTAATATGTAGGTAATAACAAAACACTATAAACGAAATTAACTTACCACTTAAAAAGACATTCAGAAAGAAAAGCAATCAAAGCTAAAATTGATAAACAGTACACGATAGCTACTTTTAATAGAAAAAATAAATAGACCATTGAAAGTGAACATGTTTGTTTAGTTACTGATGCATATGACGTTGGAGATGACGAAGAAGACAATAGAATCGATGTTGATGAACTGTACATACTAACTGTGTCAGTGGAGTGTTATTCTTTAAAGAAATATTTGATTGATGATCAAGGTTGCATTACAGATGAAGCATGAATCATCCCTGAGTGACGTTAAGAGTTCTTGAGAACATAATAAGTTGTCGAAAAGATTTTGAGAGGTAAACTATTTTAAGCTGCAACAGTTTTCCAAAATAGCAAGAAGTATGTTTGTTAGTCGAACCAAATATCACAGAAAAGGAAAATATACATTTGAGAATTTTGGTAAATCAATGAATTAATGTTGAAAGAACAGAGGCAAGCAAACAATCCAGAATTGAGACACACAAACTTTCATTGTCGTACCTAAATCTGAAACACTTATCTCGAAAATCAAAACACAGACATGAGATGCTGAACACAAAATTAATCACAATATGGACGTACCATGTTTTAAGTTTTCAGACGGCACATCGTTGAGCAGCGCTGCCGATGATGGCTAGGTGCGCACTGACGTTATCATTCCATATCACTGATAACATCTGACTTATCGCGTGCCTATTCTCTGTGTATAATGTAATCCAGCTCTCGTAATATTGAGAAGAAAACTTCTTTTGGATCTAATGGGAGATTTATTTTGTTATATTTGATGGGCCGACGTAACGAATAACGTAAAAGTTTATTATGTATGTTTAAAATTGTTCCACCATCTATTAGGTTCTTTTAAAATGTCTTATACATTTTCTGTGATACATGTTGTAGCTTTTTTTTATAATTTATTTATTAAGTATATATTTATTGAAAATTTATTGTAAGTATGTTTACATTTTTTCCAATGAGTAGTCATATGAAATATTACATGAAACAATTGCAGGAACATTGTAAAAACTGATTTAACTAATCAAATTATCTATACGCAATTATTGTTTCTCAACAATTAAAGTGTTTAATGTTTCCACCAATTAATTGATAGCTAATTCGAAAGCGACGATTAATTAAGAGTTTATCGAAATTCTAAGCAAAATAGACATCGTTCCAGATCTATACGTTATCTACAAGATAATCTATTAGATATGATTAAAAATTAGGTAAGTCACAACAAATGACGCAGTTCTTACAACATCATAATGTGCCTAAATAAGGACATAGATGGATAAGTAAAGTTACTAATGAAAACATAATTTGTATGGAAGACAATAATAACGTTGATAATGGAAATGATAAAATGATAATAAGTGAAGAGAATGTAGTAAGGAGAGACAGAGATGTCACACTATGCCAAGAAATGTGGAACAAGCGGAGAAAAACGAAGATCATTTTGAAATTACTCCTGAGATAGAAGAAATTTAGGAAACGAAAAAACATTTAACTCGTGGAGTACCGTATTTATAGACACAATTAAAGAACAATAGGTTGCGGTCACCGGTGTCCGCTTGGTGTTTGACAGTTTAATAGTCATTCTGATAATAAAGCAAGTCGTCCTTGGGGTTTACCGACATCTAAAATATGATGAACGAATATGCGACAAGATGTTGGTTTGTCACTTCTCTCCGGAAGTTCCTGACATTGTAAGTGGACAGTATCAGTGTTTTAAACTAAGACACTTTCTCTTATCTTTATCACGTACGTGATTAGGTCATTTCGGAAACTACAATACTGCTGATAATAGTAAAAAAATAAATATTACAATCTATTGGTGTTCCTCAGGGTGCTGCATTGGACCCATTGGAACGTAATATTTTTTTTCTATAATTCATGCATGGTCTGAATCTGAAGGAAGAATCTCATTGATCTTAAATGAAATAGGTAAAGTAGGTACTTAATTAACGTAATTAATAACTGTTCAAATTATAAGTGTCTACTAGAACAACTTAGCGGTAGGTGTAGAAGATTA